CTCCCATTTAGTAAACAGTTGGTTAATGTCTCTAATCCCATTAAGCAGGGGGAGCAGCTTGCCCCCTCACATAACATGCATTAATATGTATGTGTAAGTGTGTGGATGCAGTGTATCTCTCTCTCTCTCACACACACAAACAAATATATATATACACTCTACGTAGTACAGCCGGGAAATGAAATTGATTTGCCCTCATAAACATTTGATAAAGCTCTAATGCAACGTGGTGAGCCGTTGAGGAGGACTGGAGAGCGGGCTCATGAGAATGACATGTAAATCAAATGAGCGTTGTATATTTCCAGGCACAATTTGCCAACAATTATTGTTTTGACCTGGCTCCTCAGTTGACAAAAGAAACCTGCTCCCTCTGAGGAGCAGGAAATCAGCTTTTCAAGTGCTCTTGTGTTTGAAGAGTGGAGAGCAAGGCAAGGCGTGATTGCTGCAGTCTGCAGAGAGGATCCGACATGGGGTGATTTCATACAAGGAGAGGAAAAAGCAGCGAAGGCCAAGGCTGGTTGTTTTTCTTTCCCTTTACATATAATATATAAATAAGCAGCACTTATCTCTGTGTTTACTCGACTAACTTGCACTGATCTGTACAGGGGGAAAAAAAATGAATGATAAAGAAGACGGTCTCACTTTAGCACTTGAAACACTTGAAGCAACATTTAAAAAACTAAACATTTCAGCTTGTGGCCTGCTTCAACCCGACGCTCGTGTGTGTGTTTCACCTCATTTATATAATATCTAGGTGCAACATAATACAAGTGCCTGGAGCAGGAACTGTTAACCCATCAGTAAATTAATCCATCATACTGAGCACATGAATATGCATGGCAACACAATAGCATCAGTATGCAGGAAAAAAATTAAAGCATATGCTTATCATCTGAAACCCAGATATTGAGTTATTTATATGGACAAATGCAATTAAGGTGCTGTTTAAATTAGCAAAATAGTCAGCTGAATCTGAATTTCATTTTCATGCAAGAGAAGTGACCGCTGAAGTGCTCCACAGGTGGAGAGCGTGTTTAAAAATTCTGCCGGGATGATTTTGTTCAATCAAGGACCCTTCAGGAATCTCTGTGACTCTGGTTGTCATGGATAAACCCCAGCAAATATTTATGAAAAACAACAAGAGATGTTCATTCATTACCTGCCATTAATTCAGCACTCTGAAATCATCAGTACATGATGTGTTCTATAGGATGGAGGTTTAGGGAACATTGTGAAGCCACTTCTCACAGCACCGGGACATTGTGGTCCTTTGATCCTTTGGGTTCTGTGGGTTGCAGGTTAGGGCCTCTGTGGATTGGGCTTGTTTTGATCAGATTGAGATCCAGGATATTTGGAGGCCTTGGGCTATATTGTGTTCCTTGAGCTGTTCCTGAGCAGTTTTTGTGGTATGATGTGGCATGCAGCGAGCATTGTCCTGCTGGGCGAAGCTTCTGGGGTGTTGTTGCCATGAGGGGGGATGTGCTTGGTCTCTAACAATGTTTAGGTTGTTTGTATGTGTCAAAGTAACATCCACATGAATGCCAGGACTCAAGGTTTCCCAGTCGAACATTGCATTTAAAAAAGATAATCATTGTTATACACTTGGGCCGTCAGTGATTTCAGTGTGTTGAGTGATTGATGTTAACGCTGTGGCATGAAGACACTGACATATGCTCTGTTGTGACTTCTAAAACAACCATTTGCACCATTACAATTATATTTTCAATCATTCTTATAGCCTAAAACATACCTCCTGGTTTTAATAGCACCTTTACATCCTCAAAATTCCTTCTAAATCGTTGTGGATGTTTTGCAATTTAAGTCTGCAAATAATAATTTGTGTAGGTTTTTTTTTGGCAGATAATAATGCAGTTTTGTGTATAGGTATATAATATTGTACATGCAATAAAGTCTATGTCACTCATTTTTATAGTACAAACACTTGAATGTGTATAACACCAATGATATTATACAGAACTTGCAGGTTAAGGATAGTGACTTAAATCCAAACGTCCAAACTTAACTGTGAAACGGCTTAAAGAAATGACATTTATGCAAACATACTGAATATTTTTATCCACTATATTGATGGTGATAAATTAAATTCATATCAATCTAAAGGTGCTAAAAAGAAGCCCTGCTTTTTAAAGACCTCTCATCATTAAGGGACGATTTAAGGAATTGTTTTGTTGATGGAGTTTGTTTTTGATTAAATTAATTTACTAATTATTTGGAGGCAGGTTGTTGTTTCTGTTGAGGAGGATTATTATGATCATTAATATATGGCATTAATAATGTGATCTTACATGCATCACATTACAGAATGCTTTTAGGAAATACAAGCTTTCCTAATATGAAAAATGACAACCTATCCTAAATTTACTCTAACCTACACGAGGAACTCCTGGTGCTGATGGGAAGTCTATGACATCATCACTGGATGATCACATACATTATTGATGGTAGACTGTAAGTGTTACCAACAAATGTATAAATGCACAGACACACAGGCCCCAATGTGATGATGTCATGCTAAGCATTTCTTATATTATGGAAGGACATTTGAATGAGTGGTTTGATGTTTCTGCTTATTAAATTCCCCTGTATGTGACTTTAAAACAAAGCACTGCCATTGCAACAGACCATAAAAGCATCTCAGCTGTAATGTTTGCCTAGCAGATCTTTGTTTGGTATTTAGTATTACCAAATCTGATAAATATAAGAAAAAAACAATTGAATTTATTGAAAGTTAATTTTTAGCCTGTGTCATCTTCACATAAACAAATTTAACCAATAAAAAACTACAGCATGATGCAGAAAGCAGAAGATGGTGAATGTCAACAGGCTGTAATGATGAGTGGAAGTTTTCAGAGCCAACTGCTGTCATGCAGCAAACCTTTGTACTTTGTACTGGAACTAGTTGGGAGGAAAAATGACTATAGACAGCAGAAAACAGCTTTGGTTTCTTTACTTTCTACCATTTATTAAAAACGCCAACATGTCTGATCTGATCATGCTATGTGGTTACCTACAGTCTAAAGATTGTTTTGTTTGTGTGGGAGTCTTAAAACTGTGGCTGTTGAGTTTCAGTTGTGTGGGAGCACACACTGAAGCTACTGTTTAGGTTTTAAAGACATAATGGGTGATGGAGTTTAGCACCAGCAGGGTCAACCAATTATTTGATCAATTGTTAGATCTGATATTCAGCATTTTTCCAGTGATCTGCATCATTCCTTTTGTGTGCATATTTCAGATAAAATTAATTAATTGAAGGTGCTACTTTGACTCTGATGCAACCACCTCTCTCTATCTGCAGACACTGCTCTGTGGTTTTGAGTAATATCCTGTCCTCAGCACTATCTGATTGAGTCTAGACACGAGTATTAGCCTATCAACACAGAAAGAGACAATGTGAAAAGCTCCTTTTTAATTAAACATAAAACCTTTAAAAGGCTTTTCAACAAAACTTTGTCTTGAAGTTTGTTTTATTTGAGATTTTGACATCAAGATGTAGATTTGACTGCAGATATACATTGGTATATGTCGGTCGACCTCTACATTATAACTGTCAAAATATGCAGATGAAGCTGTTCTGCTCCCATTTATTTATTTATAAGCTGCAATCAATGGATTTATCATTAGCTAGGGTTCCTCATAATGTACAAATGCTCACTAGATCAATTATTGGCCATTAATAATGAACATTTGGGGATTGTCAGATTGTGGAAAATCCTCCTCCACCTTGATGCTTGTCTTCTAGATCATACATGTTCATTAGGGAACCTCTAATGAACTGATTGACTGCCAGTGTACTGGAATTACAGTCAGCTATCAACATGTATAACTGCAGACTAGATGGACTGTGAAACCCTTTAATGAAGATTTGTTAACATTTATAGGTGCCATTTATGAATAATCTGTGTTAATCAATTCATAAGACAATGCATTGCAGCTTATAAAGTTCTGATAAATGGTTTCTTATAAGAAAATTGCACCATTGAAGCTACTGTACTTTTCTAAGTGTAGGAAAAATAAACTTCTCTTGTGTCTAAGAGCATAATGATTTTGTAGAGGGAACCCTTTTAACTGTGAGCTGAAATGGAGCACAGTGAAGTGAAAATCCTACATTAGCAGGGCCCAGTGATAGATTATGTCCCTGAAGGCATGTGAGCATGTGTCATCAGAATGAATACGGAATCTTTTTCTGTCATTTATATAAGTTTTGGTGATGTAGCAGGCTAAACAAAGCATAATTTACGCAGCCTCCTCTTCCCAGATTTGCAGGACAAGTAAGAATTAAAATACTGTATCCCAGTTTCCATAAATAATGTCTTAGATGCATATATGTGCCACAATGGCAGGGAAATAGTAGTGTCCAAAACTCAGTGGATGTAGTTTTTGTTTGAATACTGGGGATAACTCATTCATTTACTGCCTTCTGGGGATTTTTATGCACCTATTTGGACCTTTTCTACATCAACTAATGCTGGAAATGTCTTTGTACATTGACAGGAGATCACAAATTCAGGCATCAGGTGACAGCTCAAAACACAATGGAGTAAGGGTCTCAGCCTTTCTTCATTGCTTTCAAATATTTATTTTCCACTGGATCATAATTTTAATTCATTTGTTTAAGCCTACACTCTAATTGCTTGTCTGTTTGTTTTTTGCATTATTGGGCCACATTTTAACAATTACTGCTGTGCTTTTCCTGCTAAGACATGTCAGTGAACATGCTGTACGTGTAGCTTATAGTATATATGAAGTGGCAGTGGACATGGAGAATTTAAAAGTTCACATAAACACTCTCACCAGCAGCAAATAAAAAACAAACTCGATTTTTTTGCTGTTCACAGTATGGAAGAGGGGAGGCCTGACTGACTTCTGAATTGACCAATCGTGTCTCGGCTTCAAATCAGCTCTTGTCCAATCACAGCAGAGAGCGATAGGCTCACCCCGCCCCCAGAACTGGATGCTGAAAAAGAACGTCATCTGCCTCATACATTTAGCTTTAGCCAAAATTAGCTAGGTGTTCAGAATCATTGATATATCCCGGCGAATCGAGCGTTTTTCTTTTCAACCGTCAGCCTAAGCGGAAGTTATTTATTTGGTGCTGCCTGCGTGTACAGTGCCAAACATGTATATAAAAGCCTTATTTCGATGCAGGGACATGCTGAAAGGAGAACTGATCGTGTGAAATGCTGGCTAGCTTCATCACAGCTAGCTGACTAGCAGGGGCCGAGAAACGAAAGTGGCTAACATTAACGAGGGCTAAGCCTATCACAACAAGCCTGGCTACTTTAATATACCTGCCGTGAGCACAAGAAGAAGGGCTGACTGAGATAGTTCGTTTCCTGAGAAGTAAGTAACGCCTCTCCCTTGAGATATTTCTACACTGAATATTCCGCCGCTAACGTGTTATGTTGGACAACACTTTGACAACTGTGAACTTCGCTAGCTCGTTAGCTAGCAATATAAGTGGCCTCAGCTTGCTTTTGGGGACAACTGGTCTTACATAACGTTATCTATGGATAAAAACCATAAAGTGTAGTTGTTTTCTGTATTTGTGAGTATGATTTTTTAAAAGATATTATCAGTCCTGTTGATGTAGAGCTAGTTGTTAACACGCCTGCTTCTCAGCTTGTAAAGGGGTTTTACGTTAGTTGTGGTTGCGTTGTGATTTACTTGGCAATTTTTAAATACGTTTTCAACATCAGTTTGGTAAATATTAGCCGACGGAATTAAAGGTTAAGCGAGCCTCCAAATTAAGGTACATGCGCAACATCTGGTAAATAATACAAGTGTGTAGTTGTAGGATATTTCTACCTCTCAAACTGTAATTGGATGTGTATCTTTATATTTTGTGATGGTTTATAATTGTATGACTATAGCCAATAATTGTGTCTATCAAGTTAAGAAACGCAGCGTGATTGCAATTTGCTTAGTGTTCTATCTGCTTAATGAGTATTTGCAACAGGTGTGACTCGTGGTTTAACATTTACAATTAACTTTTTCCAAGAAAGCCACAAAATCCAGAAAATAGCATTTTAATACCAACCTGTACCTCTATGGATTTATTACAAATTTCAGATTTCACTATTTACTGTGACAGCAGATTTTAACTACAGCAAAAAGTTCCTTCATACTTTGTATTCCCATTAAGTGCCTGTGAAACCCCAGTACAGGAGTTAGCTTGTTTTATTGCTGTGTTGTGGGTAGTTTTATTGGGTTGTTGGTGAGTATGCGGCTATGTTTCTGGCAGTGTGTTTGTGTGACAGTGTGTTCCAGAAATGGCAGCATCATCAGTGGCATGTTTGTGTTGGCACCTTGATGTGAAATCCTGCACTAGCCATGCTGTTTTAGCTTATGACTGCTGTGAGTCTATGGGCCTGTCCAGTGGCGTTTATCTATACCCTTTTTGTTGTGTCTCCTGACTGAATCACTTCACACGCAGATGTTTGCACAGATACAGTGTTAACTGGCAAGCTTGAAATAACTGGCAGATAAATTTGTGCCATGAGGATGAGATGGGTGAACAGAAAAAGACCAAAGTGATTTTCAGATACATTTTCTGATAAAAAAAACTGTTTTCAGTTTTAGGATTGGCCTGTGGTATTATGCAAACCCCTTTCATGTGCTTTTGCAGTGTGCCCCACAGGAACTGAGATTGCTTTTAAACAATTTAGTTCATGGTAAGTACTCTCTCTACTGCAGCTTATCGTTTTTCAGCTTTTGAGGCCTGGGAGTCAAATTGAACGCTGACAGGTTTCTGGATGGGGAGAGCAGGTATATACAAGTATACATGCTCGTTTGTTGCCGAGAAACCACTCACGGTCCAGTATAATATGACACATTTACCTTCCTCCTCTTTGGCCGTAGTCTGATAGACTCCAGTCTGGTCAAGTAACGGCCCCATCATCCCCGACGCCACTGCACTGAAGATGACTGAAGCTATCTGTTCAAAGAGCACTTGTTCCAGGAAATTGCCGGCTTCTGATGCGACTTCAAAGATGAGTCATCCAAGAGGGAGATCTGTTTGTTCCACCTCTCCAATTCGTAAAACGTCAAAGAGTCTCATTGTGGGGGAAAACTGATTCAATTTTAGGTATAGTCTTTATAATAGCTGAGGATAGTGCGTTACACCAGCTGATCCAGGTGCCTTCTTTATTTTTTTAAGTTCATCATATGTGGATGTGGCTAATGGTTACTTAATCAGCACAAAGATGGTCACATGCCTATGAGGCAATAGAAGCACATTAGTACAAATTGATTATTTTAACATTTACTCATACCATCAGCATTGACTTTTTAACCCAGAGATGTAAACTGCAGAGAGCAACTGAGTAAAAATGTGGACTTAAAGTACAATATGTACAATACAGCTAATATATGAATTTACATAGCATATCTACATTTGTTTCTATAATTTGTTTTTAGCATTGGGACAAATGTGAAGATCACATGTAGGATTGTGGGCAGACTCTACACTTTACAATATTATGTATGCCCCTCTCATCCTGTGGAAGGTCACCACTGACCAAAGGGCCTTCTGCTTGGACTGTGTCTGAAACCGATGACCTACTCACTAATGCAAGCCGAATAGGGTTATCTTGCTAGTGGACACTGTTAGGGATGCACCGATACAATTTTTGCCAGACCTAGTACCAGTACAGGTGATACATTTGTCGTGTTTGTCAGTGTGTAAACCCTAAAACTGCTTTACTTGTATAACAGTTCTCAGTGAAGTAAAATCCTAATCAATCCACTGTACATTTGGATGCATTGGACTGACACTGCTTGTTAAAATATCAACAGTAAAGCTGAAAGCTGAAATATCCGGCGGCTGTCTCTTAATGTGCTTCTTCGCAAAGTTGTACAGCTTTGGTAGTACAGTTTCTATGCAGTGGTGATGGATGAGAAGCTCATACTTGTTCTACAGTATGCAAAGAACATGATGAATTCCCAAATTATCTGCAACCGACAATGGCTGGTCATCAAGAGCAATATACTTGTTAAGGACGTGTAGGGTGTCTCTTTACATTTTCTCCTGCTTCTCTGTTTTTTGTTGCACAGTTGCTGTTGCAAACTCGGTGATTTTAGATGTTATTGCTTTTATTAGCTTGTATTAAAATAGCTGTTTTTTAATTATCCCCTTGACAATTTAACAACATAGCAGTGTGCTTTACTTTTGTCATCATTGCCTATTCTATAATTATTTAAAACTGCTGACTTTGCTGTTCTCCCACTTACCCGTTCAGTTAATAAGAGGTAATGTTACCTACCTATAAATTGGGTGCGACTGTGATAAGAACTTGATCAGAGTATCGGACAGATACCCATGCTGGCATTGGCATTGGTGCATCTTTGTATAATACAGAATGTCACGTCAGAAAAATAGTATTTGGACAACTCTCAAGTCACTCCTTTTATCCAGTTAGCTTTTGCCTTATTTTCCACTGCTTATTATTATGTGGCATTGCAGAAAAATTGTGTGTGCTCATGAAAAAAACAAGCTAGTTTTACTTATAGGACAAAGCAGGATGGTCTTCAGAGACATCAGTATCCAATTGTATCACTTTGTATTTTTATTTTGGTGACCACAAGTCATTAAAGCACTCATAAGCAAAAGCTCCACCCCCATCTATCTGTGGAGAACAGGTTACACCACCATCATGCTACATTTCCTGTGAACCAGTTCATCAGCGATTGCGTTGACTCATTGCACATTCTGATCCTGTTGTGCTAATTTATGGCTCATTTGGCCAGTAACTCATTGTGTTGTTAGTGTCTGCCAAGTGTTAATTTCCCACTAAACCCAGCATGTCTGTAAGGTGACGTGACATTTGAAAGGTAGATAGGCCACTATATCACATGCTCTTGACTTTAAATGTCACCAAGCAAGAAGCAGGAGAGAGCGAGAGCTTTTAGGTTAGTGCTGGTTTACTGTTGTGTGCAGTGTGTAGTCTGTGTTTGACAAGCTAATCTGGCACTACGTGGATCCCATCAGCGGCTGACTGTTAAATTGAGTTAGCTCGTTAAAGCTACCCTGCTTGTCTGAAGTCTGAGAGCTGCGTTTTTTCTGATCCTGTCTGTTAGCCAGCTTTCAACTCTGACTCTCTAATGGACAGAACAAAAAAAATTATGTGGTGTGACTCAATCAGAGAAAGGTGAATTTTGCCACTTTTGTCGAGACTTAACTCTGAAATTGCGTCTGCACTCTGTGAATGGCCACATGAACGTCCACAACCACACACACGGACACGCACACACACAGTGGCGTGGCTGTGCAGTCCTCTTGTCACATGCTGCATCCACTACCATCCCCTGCTTCTGTTGCTATGACAACCACTCAGCTGCCACTCCAAGCTGCGTAACCATAGAGACATAAGACTCTGGGTGACATCACTCCGTGGAGTTCTCAGTGCTTACGAGTCATGTATGCTGATTTTTTTTTTATTTTTTATGCTACTGAAACAGGTGTTATGGTGCATATTGCGACTGTGTGTTGATGGTGTATTTTTATGAGCCCTGAAATAGCAGAGCTCTTGTCTTGGAACAGTGTGTCTGCACAGTTGCTGCGCAGGTGAAAGAGCAAATGATTTGTTTTGGTGATTGTGTAAATGGCTTTGATATCTACTCAGTGGTAAGTTGGCTGTTATGTGTGAATGCATCTGTTGTCAAGGTAATAATTCAAGTGCTTTGGACTAGTGATGCTTTGGCTGCCCTTTGATGTGTGATCAGTGACCAAGTGGGCCTGTTTGCTTGTCTGTGTGTGTGTGTGTGTCTGCTGCACACCTGTTGTATCTCATCTGACTTTGGAGACTGGAAGGCACACAGACCATTTTGATACCGATCATGTACTCTTCTCTAAAAGCAAACAGCAATACTGAATGTGTGTCATGATTCTGTACCACTGACTTTGTGCTACATTAGCAGACTATAGACAAATTTTTGCTTGCATTCTCATTAATATGTTAAAGGTCACTCCAGAAATGTTTGAAGATGTATACAAATACTCTGCTTTCAATAAAAAATAAAGGTAACATTACCTGGTTACAGATTCTATACCACCTCCTTCATTGAAAAACCCTGAATTTATTAATATGCAAATGTTTTTCATTTCAAGAGTTTAATTGCTGCATTTAAGACGTCACTGGCCTCAGTATATAGGCAATGCAGACTTTAGGTTTCCACGTCACACTTGTGAAAGCTGCATATTGAACCAGGCTTCTTTAATAGTTAGAAATCCTTTAAATCCCGTATGTCAACTTAAAACATTTATTGAGGTATGAGCTTGTGCTTTTTATTTTTTACATATAATACCGGTGATGCAATTATAAAGCATATTTTATGGGTAATTATAATAAGTCAGTTGTTTTTTCAACTCTTAAGTCATGTCCGAGTGACATTCTATCAAATCAGTATAAAGTGCAAAGTCAAAAATAGTGCGCAGTGACAGCAGTAGATCAGCAACAGCAAGAGTCTCTGCCACTGTCACACTGTATCTGGTAAAGCACTGCTGGTGCTCACAAGTTATTTTACAATGCTCCCAGTACAGGATAATGCACTCTGCTGTGAAGGTCTGATGACATTTCTGCTCTGCTGTTACACACAAGAAGTGTTGGTGAAGTGTGAGTTGTCATGTGGGCGTTGTTAGACAGCGGTTCGTTAAGACTGCGGTTCATTTGTTTTATCAGAGAGGAATGAGACAAATGATTACAAAAGATGGCCGAAACACTTGATATGTGGATGGGGGTGACTCCCTGATTGACTTCATCTCACATCCATTTGTAGTATTTTTCTCTGTGAAATCCAAACTAAGTTTTTAGCTTTGAGTTAATAGGAATATGGCAACGAGAAGCTGAGCATTTCTTATCTTTAAAAAAATGTAGCCTTTAACCTTTTAGCTCTCCACACTTGTACATTAACAGACCGGTTCCTTGAGTATGTGTGCAATGTATTTGTCAGCAGCATTTATTGATATTTTCAAATATAATGCACAGTTCAGAAGAGCATTTTTTGTGGCCATTAAGTTTCGTCACAATCAATAGGGTTGTATAAGTTCATGCTCTCACATTACATAACCAATTTACATAGACTGGATATAGAATTTCTCTCTTATCAAGCGTCCTGATGCTGCTGTTCACTTCGCTAATGCAGATGCAGTTATTGATAGATAACACATCCTCTCCACCACTCTGTGGAGTTTGTTAATGCTCTCAGTAGCCAGTTCTGGCGGGCCAAAGAAGCTTTTAGGCTTGCTCCTCAGTCTCTTTACACATAACCCAGAGTGGCTGCTCTATTTCTGGATATGATGAGCAATGATCACTGTTTGGTTGAATTATTCCTTTAGGCCTGTTAAGTGAACAGTAAAAGAAACAGGCACATGCTCCAGTAGTCCAAGTCTTGAACAGGCTCCCTACAAATCTGTGAGATATTTGCAGGGGTCACATTTTCATAGCCTCAAAGATTCATTTGAGATCTGTCATGTGTTTTTGTTGGCTGACAAGGCATCACAACAGTAGTTCTGAGTGGAAGCCTCATTTATGTTCATGATTTGATTTAGTGCAATAAAAATGAAACCTGATCAGTACAAGTGTTTTTTTTTTTTTGTTTTTTTTTAAACTACTTTGGAAGTCCTTATTTTAATTCAGTTCATTTTGTTGGCCACACAGTTAAGCAGGTGGAATCTGTTTCAGGTACTGTGTTTATAAGTAATCCATCCATCCGTTATCTATACACCGCTTAATCCTCACTGGGGTCGTGGGAGGCTGGAGTCTATCCCAGCTGACTCAGGGTGAAGGCAGGTTCACCTGGACAGGTCACCAGTTTATCACAGGGCTACACTTAGAGACAGACAACCAAGCACACTCACATTCACACCTACGGACAATTTAGAATCACAGTTAACCTCAACGTGTTTCTGGACTGTGGGAGGAAGCTGGAGAACCCGGAGAGAACCCACGCTGCACGGGGAGAACATGCAAACTCCACGCAGAAAGATCCCGGGTGTCCTCACCAGCAACCTTGTAGCTGCGAGGCGACGGTGCTAACCACCGAGCTGCCTTACAGCCCTATTTATAAGTAATATTTCAGATAATATATAAAAGGGTATACAGAAGAATGTGTTATGTTTTTTTGTATTTTGAAGGTTGTTTTTTTTAAATTCCCTTATAAAAACATTTTGTATAGATCTATTGTGAGCCTAGTCTGAGTTTTTAATCCACACACAGCAACACAAACGTATGTAATGGCTGTAAACTTTCCAAAACAGGCAAAACAGAAACAGAACTGGTATGAGTTCAGAAGTATTAACATGTTGCAGGAGGCTGCTAAATTTGTCTATCCTCACAGTCGATGTTGACTGTATAACCTTTCCTTGAATCCTTTAATTTTTTGTAATTTGCTGATCCCACCAGGTAATGGCTGGCATTACCAGCTCTTTGCCACAAACTGTCTTTTTCAGGTGAACACACTCATGGTGGATTGAAAGGTCTGGAGTTAGCGTTCAGTTTGCCGTACAAGTTATCCAGCAAGCACAGAACCGGACTGTGGTGCTGATGCTTGAATTGGATAAAGTTAAACTTGTGTTCATATGTTCACTAACAGGCAGGACAATTGTCACGCCATGCAGTTAAACATAGAAACAGAAACCAGTTTGTGGACAGTGGTCAGTATTTTGGCATTATTTGAAAGAGACATTTCTGTTTATTAAATTGCACCTGTCCTGAAATCTGCCACACAGAATGAACATTTTAAACTCTGTTTTGTATCAACATTGCACAGCCCTGATTATCTGTTTAGTCCAAATTCAGTGTCTAATTTTCCTTTTTTGTTATCCTCTGTTGGTTTTTTCTCCCCAACAGGTAGCAGTGAGTGTCTCTAGGGCGGAGCCATGGGTGCATTCCTGGACAAGCCCAAAACAGAGAAGTACAACTCGCATGGTGAGGGCAATGGCCTGCGCTATGGCCTGAGCTCCATGCAGGGCTGGCGGGTGGAGATGGAGGATGCTCACACCGCTGTGTTGGGACTCCCAGCTCCTGGTATGACTGACTGGTCCTTTTTTGCCGTGTACGATGGTCATGCTGGCTCTCGGGTTGCCAACTACTGCTCTAAGCATCTCCTGGAACACATAATCACTGCTAGCTTAGGGTCCGGAGGTATACAAGTCTCCCAGGCTGGAACAGACGGCTCCACCAGCGACCCGCCAGCACTGGTTCCTCCTGCAGTGGAGACGGTGAAAAGTGGGATCCGGACAGGCTTCCTGAGGATCGATGAGCACATGCGCAGCTTCTCTGACCTCCGTAACGGCATGGACCGTAGTGGCTCCACAGCGGTGGGCATTCTCCTGTCACCCGATCACTTCTTCTTCATTAACTGTGGAGATTCCCGAGCCGTTCTGTACCGCAATTCAGACGTGTGCTTCTCTACACTTGACCACAAGCCCTGCAACCCACGTGAGAGAGAGCGCATCCAGAATGCAGGTGGCTCAGTGATGATTCAGAGGGTAAATGGGTCGCTGGCTGTATCGAGGGCCTTGGGGGACTATGACTACAAGTGCGTGGATGGTAAGGGCCCCACGGAGCAGCTGGTTAGCCCCGAACCAGAGGTGTTTGCGATGGTCCGGGCTCCGGAGCAGGATCAGTTCGTGATTCTGGCATGTGATGGCATCTGGGACGTCATGTCCAATGAAGAGCTGTGCGAGTTTGTGAAATCTAGGCTTGAGGTGTGCGATGACCTGGAGAGAGTCTGTAATGAAGTGGTGGACACCTGCCTGCACAAGGTACGTACAATTCAGTTTTTTTTTTTAGCATGACCTTTGTGTGTTTTTGCTGTTATATGCACTGTTTTCTAATGACTTCCTTAGACTGGAATTTGTGCAAGAACGCCATTTTGATTCCCTGCTCCAACAAATGCTATGTGATGAGGTCAATTTTGATAAAGAGATGTATTTTATTAGCTGAACACGATGTGCTTTAATGGCCCAAGACCATAACTAAGTCCCTCAAATAAGAAAGGAGGAGAAAGAGTAATTGTTTGGGCAGTTTTAGAAAAGGTAAGTACAAAGTAAAAATGCCAAGAATGTAAGCCCAGACTTTTAGTTTTCAAGTATAAAACACTCGCATAGAAAAATGCTGCAGGTTAATCCTTCGCGGCAGCTGGAATATGCTTGATTTCGGTAAATTACAACAGAGTTACGCAGTGACAGGTGTTCAGGTAGAAAAATGGCACAAATGTTTTACTGTCACTTGTCTAAGGAAATTATCTTCACAATTTCTTCTAGCACGACATAATAATATCTTCTCTTACTTTCTTTATTTTCTCCTCCCTTCCATCTTAGGGGAGCCGGGATAACATGAGTGTTGTGTTAGTGTGTTTACCCAACGCTCCCAAAGTATCAGAGGAAGCTGTGAGGAAAGAAGCAGAGCTCAACAAATTTCTGGAGTCCAGAGTGGAAGGTGAGAATGGACGGACGGACGGATGAATGGGACGAAAAACAGAATAAATGTTTACTGTGTGTGCAAACATTAGAGGAATGTTGAATATTTAAACCTTTTAGTTCCTCATTTTTGTAATGATATTTTGTCATTCCACCTTAAAAAACCCTGGAGTATTTACATTCCTTGTGTGGCTTCATTTAAATAGATTCTGTTCTACTTTGAGGGAAGTGTAAGAGTCATGCATGCTGTAAAAAATTTACCAGGTTTGATAACAGCTGTGGATTTCCATTCTTATTTATAATTGCGACACATTTTAAGAATTTTGCAACCACATTTACACCTTTCACAACTTTTAAGATAAAGATAGCTCTTCACTGTAGGCCCCTTGCTTTTCTTGGAGATCTTATTTGAACTGAAACTGTATATCTCATCTGTACGTATATATTTTCTCGACTGACTGACCTTGCCACTCTCTATTGTCTAACCTCCAGCCAAGTTAGCTCCGGCTCACAGCAGAAGAATGACACCATCATGACCTCCTTTTCCATTTCAGCGAGCATCTCCTCTCTATTCCCTCCTCGCTGCTCTCCTCTCTTCCCCTCCCTAAATGCATCTCCCTTCCCCTCGCTCAAACATTCTTGTTTGGATGAATTCCTCGCTCCCTTCCTGTTCTTTCGGCCCTTCTCTTTCTAATTTCATCCCATTTTTTTCCCCGCTCTGGATGCATGAGACCCTCTAATGAACACAGATCAGCCTTTCTAGTCACTCGCTACTGTTAGTCTGTGTAGAACCAGGGCTGATCAGCACCTTTAGGTACTAGTGAAACAGGAAAGATTTTTTAAAACTGAGAGGTGAGTTAAAATTAAAATTTTCTCTTGTCATACTTCAACCAGTCTGGCACCATTTTTGTGTTTATTCATGTAATGAGTAGTAGGTTGTAATGTCTTTTGTAAGACTCACAAGGAGGCAATCAAGGGGTATAATTGTGCAAATTCAAATTGGCTGAAAGGCTGAGTGGGTTAAAGTCATTTCGGGCCGCTGTGAATTGCAGTTCAGAAGTTCAAAAGCTTGTTCAGGTAAGGCTGAGTAGATATTTGGCTTAAGGTGCTGTCTAATACTAGAGGACAGAAAAGAGAGGGAATAGAGAAAGAGAAGAAGATAGAGGCAGAGGAATGCTCTGGCTGAACACTGGCCTGGCCTCACGCCACTCTCGACTCACTTGCAGGCCTCTTTCTCCCACCATCTCTCTCCCTCACGCACACATCACTACAAACTCACACGTATGGTTTCCATCTTCACTTCCTTTCTCCCCGTTTGTCACATTTTTGGTCTCTGTCCTCTGTTCTGCTCCTCCTCTCCTGTCTCTCCACAGATGTTCTTGGCCATCGTCGGCTCTGTTAATACTTAATACTGACTTGTGTAACAACATGTCTGGTGTTGTTTTAGAGATGCTGTCAAGGCCAGGAGAGGAGGGGTTTCCGGACCTGGTAACCGTGATGAGGAACCTGTCCACTCTCAGCGGCATGCCCGCTCTGCCACCAGGGGGTGGCCTTGCCAGCAAGTAAGGACTCCCATCTTCAGTGGACACCATCTCTTTACTAGTGTGTGTCAGCGCAATAGTCACACAGTAGACATAAGAACAGGCCATACCGATGTCATTTTGACGACCTATTTAGGAGAAGGAAACACTTTTCTAAGTTTGCAGCAAGGTGTATGCTTTTTTTTAATCAATTACCCCTTATTGTTACTGTTTTTTTCCACTGTTATAGCTGTGATGGATGGTATGAGTTGAATTTATGTGTTCATCTTGCAGACGCAGTGTTATCGAGGCAGTATACAACCGTCTGAACCCATACAGGGAGGAGGATGGAGTAAGTATCAGTATATGTAATAAATGTTGGCCTTCTGTACCCATTTCTACATCTCTCTCTCTCACACACACACACACAGATCCTATGCTAAAGTCTTGGGTCTACATAAAACATTTTAGATCTCAGCCGTCTTGTTTGTAAAGTTTATGCCTCACATATGAGTTTCAGTGGACTCAGAAAGCCTCTAACTCTTCCATCGATTCGTCCCATCTGCTGGCCCAAGCTGGCGATTTGTCTGCATTGTATTTATTTGCACACTCAAAACCATAGCAGATGAGGCATTAAATTATTAACCTCAGGGATGGGTTTGAGCCCACCACACCTTTCCATTATGTTAAACAGCTGTGTTTTCTGTGCACAGCGCATGATGCACACCTTCCTGTCAGCCCTCATAATGGGTTTTGCATGCATGACGAAACAGCTTTGTCAAAAGTATTTCTAGTGGAACTGAAAACTTGCAGTCGCAAGCACTATTTTCTGATTTACTTGCTGAAATAACTCTTAAGTCGGGCACACTCAAAGACTTCTTATTTGTTTGCCTCCCCTTCTCTGTGTTTTCTTTCCTAACACAAAGCTACCCTAAAAGACTCTTAAGCTGCGGTACAATTTCAACCGTGTTCCAGTTTTTGAGGATGACACTGGTTTGTAAATTTGCAAACATACTTTTCCTGCTGAAAGTCAGATGTGGCTCTGCGTCCTCCAGCTTTTTATTGCCTTGAAGTTTTATTAGAAATTTTGGAAGTTTGCAGATATGAACACGTAAACACAGGCCATAAAGATCAAGCAGTAGTAAATACACAAATATAAATAAAAATAAGCAAGCCAAATACCGTCAATACAAAAGGAATATTTTGCAGAGAGTTTGTTTCATGTAGTGAAAAGTGGCTGAAAGGTCTAACCTGCTCCTTTATAGGGGGGCAGTAGCCCCAATTTGCACCAATTTTCATTCCAAACAGTATAAAATGTCTCCAAATACTTTCACCCAAATACACAACTTCTGCATTTAGCTGTTTACATGCAGCTATATTTGCTGCAAACAACAATTAAGCATACGTATCAAATGGGAAATAAATCAACAAATGTATGTATACACCTATTATTTATGTATTTATTTTAAGTTGAAGTATTTACATTGTGTTGTCACTTTTTTGAGAATGTATGAAATGTACTGCAGCACATTGTGTCTATGGATGCAGTCTTGTCCACAAATGTGGAGCTATACTCTTGGCTCCTGCAGAGATCTCGACCTGCCAGCAAGTTTTACAGAAATGCCCTCTGACATAATGGAGTCAAGTCTACCCATGTGTTCCGCTTACTTTGTTCTGTTGCAGTGGATGTGTGTTTACAGTGCATATGGGAGTGTGTGTATGGGATTTTAACGGATTGATCAGATGCGTCTGTGGGGGAACGTCACACTGAGATGCCACTATGACAGTCTGTAGAATCATAAGCTTTATAAAGCTCTGTCCACCTGTTTATGAGCCGATGTGTCTGTTGTGTGTCTGTCTGCTGGTGAAGGAGATTTAAGAAGCCGTGGCGGTGCCTGATTTCTAAAGGGGATCTGTTTGTGTTGTGAATGTGCGTCTCTTGTTCGGTAGCTTGTGCTGGGGCTGACGGTCGCCTCGTGGTGTTGTCTTGGTTCGTCTATAAGGACATAGAGTTACTGTGATTGTTTGCTTTGTGCACACGTGAACATGCACGCATTCACACACACACACACGTCTTCCTAAAACCGCTATGTGGAGAACTTTAATGTGATTTTGTAGATTCTAATAATAAGTTAGAAAGTTAAGATTACCACCTACAAGGTCACTTTTACAGTACTTATGAGAGGGAATCTAGGCTACACGTCATAACTGTGTTTAGTACAGCTATTCAAATTTTACACTGGCAAAATTACCTTTAACTGGCTTTTTATTGACGTTATTGAGTAGCTACGCTTGTGCTACTTTACTAAAACCAGCAGGTAAAACTAGGACAGTCAATTTCAAATCAGAATCGTTATTTGAAACAATGCAATTAGCAAATGGCAAGATGTACCTCATGCAATGCATCTCACCCAGACATTTATTGAACTTAAGCTTGACTCTAAAAATTATGTCGCAGGTCCGACACGTCCTCCCACCTCAGTGACAATATAGGTCAACCGTCGATGATTCCAAGAGTGACACACTGAGTGTTGGTGAGTGAGGTGGGATGTGATGGTGGCGTCAGTCAGTCACAGTAACAGTGCGGGACTGATGATTTTAGTTGTAGCTGACCTACTTATTTTAGTTTTCAATTGCAATTTTGTTTGATTTAGGTTATACTTGGTTAGATTAATGAAAAGTAAAAGGGTTTAAATAGACCCATCCATGATGTTAACCACGTTAGAAGGATGAATTTGCCCAATTTACAACAAGTTTCTTCATTTTCTTAGTTACCTGTCCCATTTAAAATGAGCTACAGTAACCACTTTTCTGGAAAGCTTCCAGATTTTACATGCACTTCTTCACCTGCCCGTATAATCGTCGGTTGTTTTAAGCCTCTTCAACAGCATAGCAGAAAAATCACAATTAGATATTTTCCCCAAGTCACTCAGCCTGAGTACAAACTAAAGGCAGGATGACTTACATCTACGTTACACATTTTATCCCTTTATGAAGAGGCAACATAATTTGCAATGTTAGCATGAATGATATTTGCTTAAGTACGCTGACGAAAACAAACAGCTAATGTTAGCTTTATCATTAATACGTTATACTTTTTGACCTACCTGAACCCAAGGCTCAGGCTCACTCCATTATTGACCTACATGTATTTTTTTCCGATCAAACATGCAAATTATTAATGCACGATATTAAAATTTCTGGCCGATACCGATATCTGATATTAAGATTTCTGATATCGCCGCTAACTGATATTACTGATGTCAGTATTCAGTTTTTGTTCACACTGAAAAATTAGTTTAAGTGTGAGAAGGTGAAAACTATTCAAAAGAAGCCCATTCCAAATTAGACCACATAGTCTTATTTATTATGTAATAAAAGTCAAACATATTTTAACATATTTAAGTCCAGGACCATTTAAGTAAAAACTGTGAAATAGCAGCAATGTCAAATGTAGAGACGAAGGCGCTGATGTTAGACAATTATCGACTAAATTTGTTCATTGGACCGAAAAAGCCTGCCCCACTAATATCATCCGATGCCGATGTGGTCGCTGATATATCGTGCATCCCTGATGCAAATGCAAGATAGACAAGAAGACAGGAGTTCAAAATTTTAAAACATCTGTTGACGTATTTTGTGCAAAAACCATCAAGATGATTACTAGTAGCTACCGTAACTTCAAAAGAATTTAGCATTCAATTAACATAAACTTGGTGAAGAATCCAAAAGCAGATATCGAGTCTTAGTGCAAAGATTTTATTCTTCACAGTTAAAAATTTAGCAATCGGTGTGTGTCCTCACCTACACCTCACACACACTCACACACACTCACACACACACACACACACGTTGATAAGGGATGTATCGATTTGTCTAACTGTGTGTTCACCCTCTGATTAACGCAGCCCTCCTGTTTCATTTGGTAAGTGATGGCATATATAACTGTTACACCCCACCCCCTTCCCCCTTTTTCTTCCAACCCCTCATCCACACACATGCATACGACCACACACTCACACACATTCTTACAGGCATGTAAGTGGTGACCTGCTACTACGCATACTCCCCCTGTCACACCTCCATCAGTCTCTACTCCCTGCTCTGGTCGACTCTCTAGCATGTGGAGCTCCATGTAGACTTTAAGGCGTGTTCGTGAGGTTGTGTGGATGGATGGACGTGTCCAGGTTTGACGAGGATGAGTGATGTCTTCCGGTCCTGTCCGTCCCCCCTCTCGCCACACACACACAAACACGCATGCACTGGCCCTACACGCATGCATCGCTGTCTCACTCCAGTCTTTCAACAACTGCACGCAAGCATATTACAGTGTCCGTTTCTGTGTCCCCCCCCCGCCACCTCCACCCCGCAATAAGACGAAAGGCCTTGGAGTTGGTATGTTGGCGTATTGTTGCAGAGAGGAGAAGCTACAGGCTGAGGTTTAAAGTGTGCCCTGGCTTCCATTGCTGTTGTAATTGCTTTATTTTGTTGTTTATGTTGTGTTGATCAGAGGAAGACCTGGCCTTGAAGTCCAGGCTGAGGGCCTAAATCACTGTACGCGACCTTAAAGCCACGTGTTGATAACAGTCTCTTATTTCTGTTTTCCTCTTATTCCTTCTTCTGTCATTTTTCCACCATATTCTGCTCTCCTCCATGTTCTTATTTCCTCTCCCTCCTCCCCGTCCCTCTCTTGGCTTTCGTCTTGCAGACCGGAGCGGATGTGGAGTGCCACTGGTAGCTGTCCAGCACAACTGCCCGATCCAAAAAGACAGGACCACTATTTCCACACGAGATCACATCCATACTCACCTTTTAATTTCCTCTGGGATTTTTTTAATTTTTAAATTTTTTTTTCCCCTCCCACACTGAGAGATTAATCGACGCAGAGATCTTGGTTGACTGCGAAACAAATTGCGTTGGTTCTTTTTGGGGGGAAAGAAACTGCATTCGTGTTCTGACAGCAGGACTACATGTACGGTGTCAGAGGAGAGGCAAACAAGCACAGTTTCTCTTGACGGTTGTTTTCTTTGAGGTTGTTGTTTTTGTGGTGGATTGACAGAGCGGCCCTGCTCTGGATGCTTCGGGGCTCTACGGTGCCTTGCTCAGACCTGAGAGAGAAGGGAGGACCTCACAACTCAACAGCCAGCCAGTCGACCATTACCAAAAACCAGCCACTGACTGAACAGACTGAGGTGGTTTGTGGCATTATTTTGTTTTTTTTGAAGTGTGACCTTTTCTCGCTGGGAGCTAACAGACACACACGAGCCTGCGATACCCACGAAGCTACACTGTCCAGCACAGGTCCAGGGGTGTTACTGGCACTCAGACAGGACTTTTGCACCCGGCTCGATCATCCCACAAAACTCCTGGATTCAAAGACCTCTGAGGAGCACATTTGAGAGCCTGTCTGAAGTTCAGCTCTGCTTCTCCCTATGAAACTCAAACAGGACGTGGGCCGGCGGCGGCGGCAGACAGTTTAAACTCAAGCGTGACGGCGACGACGACTCCTCTCGCACGTCTCCGCTCACTTCCTCTCCTCTCGTCTCCTAAAGGATGCCGTCAAACAGTCGATTTTGTCGCTCTTCCCTTCCGCCTCTCTCTTCATCTGCGCTTCCTCTGTCTCTTCATGTGACAGGAGGGACTCGACTGTCACCTGCACCGGCAGACGTCGCCAGAATCATAAGCTTTTGAGCCTGCTGTTGTTAAAGATATAGAAAGATAGAAATGATTATATATTAAATTCAGATATATATATATGAGTGTATAGATATATATTTTGATTTGTTTCATCTAAATTCCCAGCGATGGAATTCGTTGTGGCCTGATGTGCGTGTGGCCTGTGTGTTTGTGTGTGTGTGTAGACAAACTAAAAAGCTGCACACACACACACACACACTCGCAGCGTTCCCACACAGCAGCGTTCCAAAGACAGGGTTCTAGGGGGGTAAAGGAATTCCAACCTCACTTTCTTCTTCCCCTCCTCAACACATTGAACCCTGCTCATGCTACAACTTGCCTTTTCTATCTTTCAAATATCCTGTGTGGAAATTCTTATTATTTTTTGTTTTGATTTTTACTTTTTAAAACAGTTTTTAAAATGTCGTTTTGGTTGGTATGATCGCTGTGGTCCTGTTACGGATGGATAAAACGAGGGGAGCACCAAACACACCTTGTACAGCATATTGGGAGAGAGAAGTAGTTTTTTTTTCTTTTGGTGTTTCACTGTATGAAGTAAAGGAGAGACACGGTGGACGGAGGGGAATAGGCTCTACACCCGGAGCTGTGTTCACACTGTTAATGGAATTGCTGAAATGTTTCCACAGCTACCTTCACGGACTTTGCGTCAAGAGGTGTGGGGCAGTTACTGAGAAAAAAAAACAAACAAACCCTGGTGTGACTCTTTGGACTAACCCACAGTCTGTTTAATTTCAACCCAAGCACTAAAAAAAAAAGGCGGTTTTTCGTTCTTTTTGAAACAAATACGCGCATAAACAAAGCGGATACACACACTTTGAGGGTGTATTCTTTTCTTTAGATGATTTAAAATATAAATATATACAAACCTGTAATATACACTTCTTCTTTTAATTTTTTTTTTTTTCAATCATTCAATGGCGACTTCATCGTGCTTTCCTGAAGTGGCGATATTGAAAGAGGCCTAACAGAGTTTGCTGGCTGGTTAATGTTCTTGTGGTACACTTGCTCTTGGTGCCATATGACGAATAGGTACTTGAATGTGTAGTTCTTTTGCAGTTGTTTTAATGCGATGATTCAAGTTTTTTTTCTTTCTTTGTTTTGTGGTGGAGGGGAGCGGGATGGGGGGTGGGGATCTTATAGTGGTGCATGTTTTTTGTGATTGAGGGAGGAGTGTGTTTTGTGTGTGAGATGCACTGGGCGGGTGGGGAGGACGTGTTCGGCGTGGTGGAACGCAATGTTAGAGAAGAGAAGCGGCGATAGAAGGACTACCTAGAGACAAGTGGAACGCATCAGACTTGAATTTAGCCCTCTAAAATGGCATGTTTTTCCACTGTCTGATTTGATGTCGTTCCTGAATCATTCCCATCGTGGCCATTACGTCGTATTTCCTGACTTTATTTTTTTTTAACATTGTTCAAGGTTTCGCCACACTGAACACAGTCTTCAGTTTAGGTTCATGTTTAAGCTACAACAGACACTGGGCTCGGAGAGGATTTGAGGGAGAAAACGTTTATTTTTCTGAATGTAATTGTTCATTATTCACACTGATTCCACTGCATGGACTGAATACGAGCAGCACTGCAGCATCACACTCTCCTCAGTCAGTTGATGACACGAAAACGAGCTCTCTTGGCTTCCTTTGTTTTTGACAAAAGTATATATACTTGATCATTATTTTGGTTGTGGAATATAATATCAGAACTCACTTCACTTCACACAGAGGAGACTTTCTTTGGAGGTTTGGTGATGCCTGAATCATTTGACCCTGACTTGTTGCTATGATTTGCGGATATGTTAAGTAAAGAGAATTTTACAAAAGCACATCGTCTCCTGAACCTGTCAGTTATTGTGGGACGGACGGACGGCTGGGTGGGTTTAACATCCAGGGCGCCAGGAGGGAGGTGGGAGTTTTGCAACACAGCATCAGATATTACATTCCTTGTGCGCTTTGTTTTTTTTTTTAATGGAAATGAACCCAAAAACTCCCCTCTGGTGTCTCTGATCACTCCTCATATACAGTCGGTTCAAACTAACACATGTATGATAAACTCCAGATTGTTTTAATTTATTCCAGCTCTTATTAAAATGCTGTATTTCGGAATGAGCAAACCTTCACTTTTGACAGAACTAAAGGAGGGGACGGGGAGGTGTCTGCGTCTCCAGACTGCTCACCATCACTTTCTTCTTGTTCTAATTCCCCAGTATGCTATTGTGATGTTTACAGACGAACATAAGCATCAATAAAAGATGGATTTAACTTTAGACTGCTACGCCTTCTTTCAGTGCTACCTTCACGTGTCGGCTGTATGTGAGCATTCCTGCTCGCTGAGACACAACAGAGACATTTCATTTAGTGACTTTGTGACCGGTGCACTGTGTACTGGGCAAAATGTTAAGCAGCACATTGTTCTGCTCCAGAACGAGCGAGAGAACCTTTTGTACAAGAATAAGTCACCATGTAGCTGAGAAAAGAAAGCAGCCAGTCGACCAGTAAGACGTTTCTGTGGCTGTTTTTTTTTATATATTATGCAAAGTGTTTGACACAGTTGGGCGTCTTCAGTCACAACTTTCAGTCGTTCTCAAACTTTTCGAGCCACGACCCCCAAGACAACATGTTTGTGTTCGTTACCCCCGAATCTGAATTTTTAATATCTCATGAGTCATAACTTTGTTCATGCATGAATCAAATCATTATATTAACAATTTCAAAAAAGGAGTGGGAAGAAGTACACACTTTCATTTTGACAGCCCTAATACACATTTATTTGATAAATGTAGGCTTTATGTATTTATATTTTTTGTTATATTGGTCTGGCGGCCCCCTGAAATTGCTCTAGACTATAGCACAAACAATATTTATTATTGTGCATTTATCTTTTATAATTCCTCAGTTTCTCCTCTGCGGGGAAACTGGATCAGAGCTACGTGTTGCTGTTGTCAGCTAGTGTGTTAAAAATGATTTTCAGTGACCGGCTGCACTTTTAGATGCTGTATTGTTCTGTGAATTTATTCCACATGCCACTGAAGTGCATCAATATTTCTGTTATCTGCAGTTTCACTGCTAATAATACTGTGCAGATCTGTGACTTTGGTCCTTGGAGGGAGTTTAGTTTTACTCTGCAGATCTGGACTATTGGACGTATACATCTCCTTCAGGATTTAGAACATTTAGCATTTCTCTCCCCCAATAAAACCATGAAAGAGGCAGAAGAACTGTATTTGAAAAACTGTGATAACATTATTAGTAGATGCAACAATGCCTCACACAGGAGCAGGTCCTTTTTCTGTAGTTCTGAGTTTTTCTTTACTCTGAAAATATGTAATCATGGGCTCATAGAATCACTGAATCTTCTTCAAATTGAATCAGATCCACATAAAACATGAAGGCAGTATGTAATGGTTTATTACTTGTTTTGAACAAAGGGGAGCAAGTTTTATGCCAGCACACTCTTTGCATCTCTACAACTAAATAGATGAAATAACCATAACTGTTTTCAAAATGATAAGGAGCAGATTAAGAGAAGGGTCACAGAGCTGAAATCACAGGTCTGTAACAAATCTGAAATCTGCAACTCAGACAGGTGTCCCATTCTTCCTAAAGGTCCTGCTGAAGTTGTCAGACACGTCCGTGAAGAGCAGCATGTGGAAGACTGACTATCGTACCGACTGAAATGAACTCTTAGACAACAAATGGTGCAGCTGTGGACAGTGAAGTTTGACTACTTTCTGTCTCTTTTCGTCTGTGGCATCGTGTCATGTGAACAAAGCTGTATTTTAAGGTGGCCTTTCATAGTCACTGGTCACAGGAGTATCTGAGCACTGACCACACAGTAACCTTTGTCCTTTAAAGCCACAGCTGACCATCCTGTGGATTAACTCACTGGTGAAGAATTTCTTTCTGTGCACTAACGACTAAACGGAACCTTTTTTAAAGCATACCATAAAAATGACATTTGTAACTCTTATACAAGGTGCAGACTGCGCTTCTATTTTTGTCCAGTGTGTCATTCATTGTATTCAAAAGTGTCACACGGTGCTTGAATTTTGTTTCTTCTTCTTGATAAATGACAACTTTAGCATAAATTGATGCAAAAAGGGCACAAATTGTCTCAAAAAATCCATTAGAGGGCAGGAAATGAAGGGTTTATGCTTCATGTTCAAACTTCTATATTCAAGGAATGCTGAATGAGCTTAAAAATGTAATGCATGTCCACAGACAGAACCCCCCAAACACGTGATTTTGTTAAATAAGTTGCACATCAGTCCCCCTCATTCATACTGTGACTCTGTGACAGGAGCCATTCTGCACAATGACTTCTACAGCAGGCTGCGTTCTGGTGCTGAAACTTGAACTGTTTTGAGTCAAGTCTGTTCGTTAAAGTCAGCAAAATGCAGCCAACACTGCAACAGGATAAAGTGGATGAAGCCAACTTTCCCAGGTTCCTCACATTCCACAGGTGGCAGTGCTGCGTCTGAGCGCTGCTTGTACTCTGACCCTCTGCGCGCAGCAGCTACTTCACTGTGCGCTCCAACTCTCACTCCGTCTTTCTGAGGCAGAGCTGCACCAACACGGTTCGTTTTTTTAGGTTTTCATCCAGCTAAGCTAAATGAGTGTGAGAAAAGACAGCGTGGAGCTGGGGGAGTGCGTCAGGAACCCGGGCTTCCAGGACGCAGACGGAGACGCGCCGGCGGCGGACACCGTCAGCGCCGCAGAGTCCGAGGAGAAGCGGGACTCCATCGGGGTGAAGCGGGACTCCATCGGGGTGAAGCTGGACCCGGACGATGAGTACAATCAGGTGAAACCGTACGCCGGCATGCCCAAAGAGGTGCTGCTGCTGTACTCCTCCCAGGCCCGGTACCGAGTGCCCCGAGAGATCCTGTTCTGGCTGACGGTGTGCTGCACGCTGGCGCTGGTGGCCATCACCATCACCGTGATCGCGCTGTCTCCGCGCTGCCTGAGCTGGTGGCAGGCCTCCCCGGTCTACCAGGTGTACCCCCGCTCCTTCAAGGACTCCGACGGGGATGGGGTGGGAGACCTCAAAGGTAAGATGGACACGAGGCTGCTGGTGAGGCTCTGATCAGAGAACATTAGATTGGTCATTAAAACTGTTTTCACATGTTATTGTCAGCATGGGCGTAGATTGCAGGGGGATGCAGGGGGGACACATCCCCTTAGAATGTAGAACAGGTGCATTTGTGTTCTTACATTTCATGTTTACTCATGATTTTTTGTTTTTCCATTACATAAGTGAAGACATTTCCACTATTGGTGCAGAAAATGCTCTGTTTGATGGCAAATAATTCACCAGAATTAATTTTTATTGCCAAGTTGAGCTTGCACACACAAGGAATTTGACATGGTGAATGAAACTGTGGTACCCAACTATAACAAGACAGGCAATAAATATAGACATCTAGATCTAAAAAAATCTAAATAAAATATTATATGTAAAAGAAAAGTATAAAAGTACTGTGTAAATAAGAAGCATTGTGAAAAAGAGACGTAAACTTGCCTAAAACCAGAGTAATACATTAGAAAACAGTTTAAATAACAATATTGCACATGTACAGATATAGCACAGAGGTGGTGCAACAGGAGTCTTTAGCTATTTATGTTCATGAGGGACATGTCCTGAGGGAAGAAGCTGCTCCGGTGCCGGGATATTCTGGTGCTTAGAGACTTGAAGTGCCGTCCGGAGGGCAGCAGGTCAAAGAGGTGATGACCTGGGTGGAAGAGGTCCATGAAGATGACCAGACCCTAAACTTTATGTGTCCTTCAAACCTACGCCCATGATAGCAATCGTCCTATCATAATCTGTTGTTAAATACTGCAATACTTTTAGTTGCATAAGATAAGATAAGGTCAGATAAAATAGAACTTTATCATTCCTGAAGGTAATTTTGCTGCCAGATGTTGCTCCGATAACAAATTTACACAACATGAGAGTGAATGCAGTGCCAAATAGAAAAGCAATAAAGATATGATGAAGTAGGACTGGGTAGAGCACAGAACAGGTGGACACAGTTGCACAACTCAGATAGGTTCAGGCAAAAAGACAGGTTTATTTCCAGGCAGGATTCGGTACACAGGTGATCAGTCGATAAAACAGAGGAATCCAGAGACGAGAGGCAAGAGGTCGCACACAAAACAGACTATGACTATGAAACGCTTGGACGACGACCTTGAAGTACAACAAACTGGCAACAAGACTGTGAGACACACAGGGTAAAGTACAAGAGGCAATGAGGGAGGATGGGACACAGGTGAGGAGAACAATCAGGGAGCAGGTGTGAGGAGATGGGGGAGGGGCGAGCAGGAAGTAAACAGAGACTACAGGTTAGTGATTTCAAAATAAAACAGGAAGAAGACTTGAAATGTGCACAAATAAAACGGGAACTTGACGGACATGACACTGGGACAGAAAAGGAAGAAGTAAACGGATTCTGAGTTAGAGTAATGTTACACACAGAATTAAAGTATTGCACAAAACATTTCAGTATTGCACATGGTAATAAGCTGTTGCACCTGTAGTATTCCTAATTGATAGTTCTGCATTTCAGAGGAAACAGTTGTTGAGTTATGATACCTTCAGATTGGTTAGAGATTAAAGGCTCTGCACAACGACTCTGTGGTCTTCAGTTGTGTGGACAATTAAAACTGTTGGGATTTATATGAGGTCACCACAAGGCGTCACATTTAATTATGAAGCATATTTAAAATGTTGAGCCAAAGTGCTGTCCAAAAGAGAAATAAGATCAGCATTACAAATGTACCGAACAAGTTTAAATATTAAAGTCGAGATCCTACAATATTATGCACTGTGCAAAACTACCTGACTAATTTAAAAATTAAGGTTTAAACCCCACAAAATTATACCCAACAAATCCAAAGATCCCCCGTAAGAAAGGGAAACACAGACGGACAATAAACACACAATAAACACTGGACGGATTGGTTGGACAAGAATCCACAAATCTGACCCGATGCAGCTCCAGAACCAGAAAGACCTGCAGGGTGGTGCATGGAGAGAGAGGACAAAGTAAAAAACTACAAGCAAGCAAAGACACAAAGTTAACATGCAGTAGTGGCGTATAAGTGTAATCAGGAAGTGTAAAGAATGACAAAAAACTCGAGAATACACACATAAATAGACAAGCCTATGGACTGGACAGCCAATGATGTAGAGCTTGTTGGCTAGTTTGAGAAGAAGTGGAGCTCCAAAAAGTAAAAAAAATAACAGGCAATTGAAGAATGCAAAACAAAAAAGGGGGCATTAATAGGAAGTTAAGAGTAGCACAGCGTCAGGAAGACAACCTAAATTTTTATTTGAAATTGCCGATAGTGGGACAGGATTTAATGTGGAATGGAAATCTGTTCCAGAGCCGCGGCGCAGGAACTGAAAAAAAAGTGTAATTTGTCCTGCATTAAAAGTAACCGGAGACCTCACGAAGTCCTGACAAACTGACATTCTTGAAATTTTGCAAGATAATAACCTGTGCACACATAATCTTGTCTTGTGTGTTTTCAAAACCATCTTTCAGCACCAAGGGAGCTCCAATTTAAACACCTTCAGCATGTTTTCTTGCTTTTACTTCGATTGCCTGAAGTACATCTTGTAATCTCAAATAGAACTTTAAGTGCACGACATTTCAAATTGCCAAATCATTATCATCAAACTCCAAGGACGCACGACGGCCAGATGTAGTTTTTACAACCGTTTAACTTGTTTACAAGCGTTCAATAAAAGATGAGCAGATGATTTGCTCGTTTAAAACCATTAGTTGGTAGAAGTATTCATGCCAGTAGTTTAGATAAATGAGTTGGATGGATGTAGACTTCAGTTGGACATTGTTCTGTTAAAAACACTGTAAAACTATAATAGAAATGAACTTAATCAACCTGAAACTTAAAGTATAGGTGGCTCATAGCATGGTTTTAAAGGCACTTCTAGGTTAAACAAACTGTGTTGTATGAGCAGCAAATACAATCAACGGGCTGTTAAATGGTCTTTTTTTCCCTCTGCGAGTATTGCATTTTCGTTAAAAGATGCACAAAAACACCTACATCATATGATCGCACACAACACTTCCTTCATTATTTATGGAGAGCTCTGTGGGCTTCCATGTTGTTTGTTGTTTCCTGGTGTGATTCATTGCACACAAACAGCCTAATACGTGTTCCTGTTGACAGCATCAGTGTTGTCGTGTCTCCTCCTCTCCTCCGTCTTTGAGCTGACTTTGTGTGTTTCAGTATAAATATTTATCAGTGCGATGTCTCTGCTTTGGCAGGAATTATGGAAAAGCTGGATCACTTTCAGTACCTGAACATCAAGTCGGTGTGGATCAGTCCGTTCTACCGCTCCCCCATGAAGGACTTCGGCTACGACGTGGAGGATTTCCGAGACGTTGACCCGCTGTTTGGAACCATGCAGGACTTTGAAGAGCTCTTGACTGAAATGCACAACAGAGGTTTGTCCGTTTATGTTTAGGAGGTGGTGGGAGCAGCTTGTTTTGGGGGTCAGCAGGGTCTGATTCATCTGTTTCCATCAGGTTTGAAGCTCATCATGGACTTCATTCCCAATCACACCAGCGACCGACACCGCTGGTTCAACTTGAGTCGGATTAGAGATCCTTACTACGAGGATTTCTACGTCTGGACCGACTGCGATCCAAATGGACCAAAGCCTAATAACTGGGTTGGTATTTGCACTAAATCTTACTGCACCATGTAGCTGATGTAGTCAACAGCAGTATACAGGTGATGTAGTGGCTCATCTGGAGTTAAACACACTGATCACATCAGATTTGTTTCCCCGTCAGGTGAGTATTTTTGGGAACTCGTCCTGGACTTACGATGAAGTTAGAGGACAATGCTACCTGCACCAGTTCCTCAAGGAGCAGCCAGACCTGAACTTCAGGAACCCGAACGTCGTCCAAGAGATGATTGTAAGATTACTTGAGCACACACATTACCTCTAATGATTTGTTTTTCAATGACTCACTAAAATCTTATGCTGTTTATTCTTCTCCTTTGTGCCATTTTGCTGAGGCATCCAAAAGTCTGTGTAATTTTTAGCAAGACTATACTATGAAGGGATTACACATTAATGTAGACCAGCTAAATAATGTGAGTGCGCCTGCGTGTATACAGTTTTTTGCTGTAGTTGCATGAATCACAAAGCACTTGTATAATCAATCACACTTTCCTCTTGAAGACAGTTTGTATTTTTACTGTCGTATCTTCATGCTTGTATTTTAGGATATAGTTGACTTCTGGCTGAAGAAGGGTGTGGATGGGTTCCGGATGGACGCTGTGAAGCACATGCTGGAGGCGGCGCACTTGAGGGACGAACCACAGGTGGATCCAAACAAACCACCAGTGAGTGTTACGCCTCCTAACGTTTACCCCTCACTTGATTCCGCTCGGTTCAGCTAAAAACTGTTCATCTGCAACAGGCAGGCAGCTGCTGGCTTTGTTCTGGCAGCTGTTTGTCATCACAGTGATTCAATGTGACCACCGAGGACGGCTGGAATCTATTCACATCGAATGCTCTGCTGTCAAACATAGTTAAACTTATGTAAAAACAAAGTTCAGCTCCAGTCAGATTGCATGTTGGGTGGCTGGCATCTGAGTTGTAATTAACATTGATAATTTGGAGGAAATACGCATTTACACTTTGTTTTGAGGGAAACAGCCGACCTATAACCTTGTACCTGACCTTTTGCTGGAGTTCACTTTATATTATTTAATCAACACTCTGATTTTTTAAAACCCCAAAATAAACCCAAAAAAGCACTAAAATTACTCCAGAAACTGTGAGAAAAAAAAAGAAAAAAGAAAAAAGAAAAAGAAATGCCGAGTTTTCAACCTTCCATCAATAGATTAACACATGGATGTGTGGCTGCATCAACAACACAGTAAATCTAAGCTTCAAATTGTGATATTGCATTAAAATCACTTTATTCTACATGTGTCATTCAGCAGAATAAACCAGATGCACTAACCAGATCCAGCAAAGAGCAAAAAAATAAAATTGAGCCATGATTGACTGCTGCCACTAACTGTCACGTGAAAAAAAATCAGAGTTTTCAAGTGAACTGCAGGCTGTGTATACACAGAGCTTCGTTAAATTCAGCATGGTGAAATATATTTCTAGTGTTGAAAACGTTTGTAGAGGTTATAAAAAATGTAAATAGGTCTAATCAAATGGTTTACTGTAGCACGCGGAGCCCTTATTTGAGCTCTCTCTACTTGTAGTCGTGGTTTTGTTGTTTCCAGAGACGTGCAGGACTTTAAACTGCAGTAAAAAATGAGTCCACAGTGAGTTCAAATGCAACATAAACTCCTTTTAACTGCTTTGGGTTCAGAGGGTTATATTTGCTTTCTGTCACGTTTTCCAGAACATCTCTAAACATTTGGCTTAAAATTAAAAACCGTCGTATCTTTAACCGCATTTGTTTTATTGAGATGTTTCCAAGGTGTGCAGGCCACACAAGACAGTAACTTCACTGCTCAAAGTTCAGCTCAGTGAATAATCTTGGCCCTATCATAGTTATATAAATGATTTTATTTAGCTGACTATTATAGTAGGTGGAGTGTCAGAGTCCAAATTTTAACAGTCCGATGCATAAAAGCTGCGCTGTGGGCCGACGCAGCGCCGCTGAAGCGTTACTTCCTCCCGTAGACGATAGAACAAACATAATCAACAGCTGAGTGGGAGAGTTCACACTGCACACGGTGTATCATTAATCATTTATCTCTGGCCTGCTGGAGAAAATAGTGCTCTTGGAATTCAGAGAGCTCATGATACATGCTGAGTTAAGCTCACTAAGAAAGAGGTTTTGTTCCACGGAGGCTGAAGTTATTTCTCACAGAGGAAAGATTAGTGGAAAAGAAGCATATTTTGGTGGATTAGTAAGTCAGTGGGATTTACTTACCGCTGCAGAGTAAGACTATAATACTGTGACTGACTCGTCCGCTTACTGTTGACTGAGATGTGTAACTCACTGCTTTAGCATTTCAACTAAGGATACTGGCGTTTGAACAATGTTGATGTGATGTTTGAACAAATAGCTGCAGCATTAAATACGACTGAGCCACCTATAACTGTCTGTGTTATCATTATTGCTTTAGTGCTGCTAGAAGGTTTAACGTCAGATTAACTGCAGTATTCGCTTTACTGGCCGTTGGTTTAAAGGTTTGCTTGTTTGGCAGCGCGTCAACTCGAGTCACGTTTTCAGGAGTTTAACGTCACCGTCTCTGAATGGAGTGTTCAGGACTGAAGCAGGGCCCCGACTGATTTTCTTAAACTTAATGCACCAAGAGGGTCGATTACTTCACAAGATGTATTTTTCTGCCTGTGTATATTTTCTTGCCACTTTAGTCTAGAAATCTTTAGTCTGAACACTCCACACACACACACACACACACACACACACACACACACACACACACACACACACACACACTCGTGATTAATGGACCTAATGTCAGTTGTCACTTGGCCTCTCGCCTCCATGTATCTGCTTACTGTCCACCTACTTGGCCTGTGACTGAGCTTCCTGACAAAGGAATACCTTTACACCAAGCTCTCCTAATTCCACTCCATCTCAGTAATAATGAAGCATTACTTCCTTGCTTTAACCAAATATGAAACCTGACTATAACACAGAGGCTGCTAGTGGTTGAACAGACCAGGAAGTCTATTAAAGCTACATCGACCCCTGTACGTATTTCTCTCCAGGAGCTGGTAACTACAGAGTGGGACCTCCACAGCGACTACACCACCAGCCAGGTGGGCTTGCATGACTTGCTGAGGGAGTTCCGGGCAGTTTTGGACACCTACAGTCGAGAGCCTGACAAATACAGGTATGAAACGCACACAGTACTGCCCTGGTTAGAACTGAGACTAGTCTACATATTTAACACACCACATGTGACTATATGACATAAACACAATTCATTGTTAACAGTTTTTTGTATTGCACTGAGTCACACTTAGATCCAATGTTATTGTGCCAGGACATAAATAAACATAGACATTTTTAAAGTCTGAAACATAAAGACAAAAAGCCCAGATTATGTAAAACACTGCAAATAAGAACACGTTGTTTTTACAGTGTGGGATTAATAAATCTGTTAATAAATGATAAGCTTAACTGAATATGATGTTCAACAGTCATCCTGCTGTCTTTGTTGTTGCCTTTTTGTGTGTTATCATACACGACATAAACGCTCCTGCTGTGCTGCAGGTTCATGGTAACGGAGTCGTACGATTACGAGGAGGTGGATAAGACCATGATGTACTACAGCACCCATCTGGTCAGAGAAAGTGACTTCCCCTTCAACTTCTACCTGCTGGACTTGCCTCACAATGCCAGCGGCGTGTGGGCGAAACATCTGGTCCACATCTGGATGGGCAACATGCCCAGAGGAGAGTGGCCCAACTGGGTGGTGAGTTACTGCAGTGATGTATTAGTTTCTTGGCTTCTTTAAAAAACCCTCTCCAATGAAAAATCATATAGGTTTCAGATTCGAACACGTAAGTCTGATTTACTCCGATATTATGATTTGTGCTGTGCTGAGCAGTTTTACAGTGTTTGAGCAAAGTCGTGGGTGAGCTGGTGTGCTCGAGCTGCCATGAGTGGGGGGGATGGATGTAGTAAGAGAGGGACTTTATACATCTACAGGTTCTAGGTAGGCGTAGTTTCATGAAGAAAACACTGAAAATATGCGACTTTGATACACAGGTAAGAGTTTTTAGGGTTTATATTAATGACTGGAAAGGAACTTTAAAAAATTCGCACATCTTAAGGGCAAAATAATGTGACTTCCAAAGATATTTCTAACAATTATGTTTGATCTTTTCAATGGTTACAACCCCCAAGACCAAATGACTGTTGACTTGAATCAAGGTCTTCTCTCAGGAAGCTTGGATCGTCCTCCTTCACCCTTTGCCTCTGTGTTTTTATAACCGTACGATGCTGTTTGTTTGTATTTGTTGGACTGAATGTCAATTGCTCATCAAGCTCTGTAATAAAAGATAAGAGCACTTTCACAAAAACCCTCCTCTGTTAAGGTAGATTGTTGCTAGTTGGAAAAAAAAAAAGTAACTGAAGCGCACATGGTTCTGTAACTGCTTTTGATACAGTGGAAGGAATCATTTTGGAATAAAAGTCTTTTGTGTGCTTGTTGATGCATCTGGGATCAGCAGCCAGCTGGTTATGATTTCTTTCGTCAAAGATAAGTGGATCTTGTAAAATCTACACTGACCTGCCCCTCTCAGAGCACACCAGCACAAAGGGTGATACAGCTTTATGATTCATTAACTCCTCTGCGACGATCTATGCTTACGATGTCACTGAGGCGTCAATCCTCCATCCCTCACTTCAGAACTTGAGCTTTTTCTTTCATGATCCCAATCCTATCCAGTTCAGGCTACCGTCTTCCTTCCTGTCCTATTCACCTTGTACGTCTCTTCTGTCCTCTCATGTCAGGTTGGTAACCATGACAGGTCTCGAATCGCCTCCAGTGCTGGTCCGGCTTACATTCGTGTCATCAACATGCTGCTGCTGACCCTCCCCGGCACGCCCACCACCTACTACGGTGAGGAGATCGGCATGGAGAACATTAATGTCACGCAGAGTGAGATACAGGACCCTGCTGGCAAATACAATACAGTGAGTACTACGCATACACTGAAAAAAAAAAAAAAATTAAATACTCATTGTAAATCTGTGCAAAGGACAGTCGGTGATTAAAAATGAACAGTTTAATTGGTAGCATCTCAAAACAGGAAAAATGTGCATAGACAATAAACAGGCATAAATGATGTAAATGTCTACCGTTCATAAAACAGCCTTTAAAAACAGTAACAACTTAATGAAGGTTTGATTTACTGCTGGTTTGCTGTAGTCTAGATTATTTGCCAGTATTATTCCTGTGCCTTCCCTACAGAGTGCCAGTCGGGACCCTGAGCGCTCTCCGATGCAGTGGAGCGGTGACATGAACGCCGGCTTTAACAACAAAACCAACGTCACCTGGCTGCCTGTGCACCCTGATTACGAAACGGTCAACGTAGAGGTAAAGAAGTCTTTTGGTAAAGTCTAACTCTGAAGAAAGATCTGACCAGAGCTTCCTCATGTATGCGTCGTCCTTCCGCTCTTTCTTTTCCAGGTTCAGAAGAAAGATGACGGTTCAGTTCTGGCTCAGTACCGTTTCCTGAGCAACCTCCGCGTGACAGAGCTCGCTCTTCACCGTGGATGGTTCTGCTACATCCACGCTGACGCCAACGTCTTCTCTTATCTCAGAGAGCTTGATGGGCTTAGCCAAGCGTACCTCATGGTGCTTAACTTTGGTAAACAATCTGCCATCACAGACCTGTCCTCCGTTTCTGAGTTGCCGGACCGGTTGACGGTGCTGATGAGCACCAACCACGTCAATAACGGCAAAGTGTACGAGAAGTCTCGGATCCTGACAGAAGCAGGGGAAGGTTTGGTGATTCAGTACTCCACTGACACCCGGTTTAATCCCACCCACCCTGAAGAGTGCTACGTTTCTGAGAAGGCCTGCTTTCTTCCCACCATAAACATACTTTATAAATGCTAATATGAACGGACAACAGCCTTCAGTTATTACAGCAATCACGTGATTCAGATTCTTCTTTTATAGCCCCTCTATGAGTAACTTGTGTCACATAATAAAGAGGACAACTGCAGAGAAATTCACTGTTGATGTTGTCTTCTTCGGTATTGTTAAAGGTTTTGGCACCGTTGTGTCATCCTTGTTGTCATGGCTGTAATAGGAGATGCTTGGATAAATGCAGTTTTCATTTCCGACTATCTCCAGACGCTATCTCCTCCTCTTGCGTGGAGGCCGAGGAGGGTCCAGGCCCAGCTCTGTGTACAGAAACGCCAGCTTGAGGGCTTCCTGTGTCAGGGAGAAAATACAGAGGACACATAACTCTGAATGTACACATCAACTCAACTGTTAAAACTTTTTGTTCTCAGAGTTAGGAGTTAGGGAGTTTGGGTTGTGCCACAAGTACAATGCAAAGCTTATATTAACATGGTATCTAATGAGGATGTTTTGAACATGGTGTTGTGCATTTGGCTGGTAAACAGAATGGAAATTTGATAACCTCCATTGAATCTTGGTGTTTCAAAACCTCATGATACCTTGAGGGCTAAAACGGATTTAACTTGGATTTACTAACTTCTTAAACTGGTGACTACACTTTTAAGTCAACCTGTAGGAGAAGGAGAACCTCAACATAACCCCAACTCTGTATTTACCAATATTTAAGCACAACAGGTTAGCTTCTTTACTAACTTACTTGGGGCCGAATATCCAGAGAACAGAAATTGCTATTTGGACCAGCTCTAGTCAAGTTATATCTCATGTCTGAAAAGGATTTAATTTGCCTTATTTATAGATATATTTGGAACTACATTTTAAAAGCGTGCCTTTAAAAATGTGCTAGCAAAAGTTACTAATGTCTTTAGGACCCTTATGTTTTCAGAAGGATTCCTGACCTCCTCCAGCGTCTGCTCAAAGTCTTCTGGTCCGAGGTGATTTGCTCCAGGCTGGATGTTCAGAACTATGTTTGGTGCCGTTTCACATTCTGAAAGAAAGAGGAAGACAAAAGAGATGAAAGCAAAAATGAGGGAAAAGAAAGATATTTCAAATTTCCTTTCAGACTTTTCCTCTTATCTTATTGTGTGCCCAGTTTCTCTGCTCCCCCTGTTCTCTGTCCACTCGCCCCAAATCTTCTCTCTTGCTCTTCTGACTCTGTCTTTCCTTTCCTTTCATTCATTCATCCTTCCATCTGATATTGCCCACTCCCCTTCTCAACCCCCTCCATATTATCCCCCCTCCTTCCCCGTCTCTGTGGTATGGACTGTTTCACAAGTGCGGTCTTGACCTTGACAGCTCCCAGTCTGTGGCGTCTAATCTCTTGCTCTGATACACTATCTCTTTACCATGCTAATGGGCCTGCCCACCCGCCTGGATGTGTCTATGCCATCAGCACTTTATCAAAGACTCCCGAGAACAGAGAGAGACAGATTAGGGAGACATATACACACATACACAGACACTTAAGCTGCCTGGTGTATGTGTGCATGAACAACAGAAAAGTGAGAGAGTGTGGAGGAGAGAGATAATGTGTGCATTTGAAACAGGAAGGGAGAGAGAGCGAGAGAGAGAGAGGGGTGTAAATACGGAGTACCACCAACGCGCTGAAGGAAGATTATAAGTGAGAGGGAGAAAGAGCCTGTCTGGGGGAAATGAGAGCAATTAGCTGACACATACACACTCACGCAGACACTCAGGCTTTACTACAAGGTGACCTATGCTATACTTTGGTCATGAACTTCCAATGCAGTGAGCACTTCCCCAGACGGACAGCCATGCGTCTGTTACTGCTGCCTCTCCTGACACGCACACTGACACTACCATTGGGAGATGACCCAGAGCTATTAAAACCTCTGATGGTGCAGAAATTACACCTAAAAGAAAGTGGAAAATCCATGCACACACACACACATAGACAAACACACACCCAAAGATAGATGTAGTCATGAACACCACACGTAGATGCACATATATATGCATCTACGAGGTCAACAAGTCGTTGAGCAGGTGTGTGTGAGATTACCTGACTTTGGCTTCATGCTGAAGTGTGTGTGAATGGCTTTCTTCAGCTGTTCAGTGTATTTGAGGACTCCTGTCAGAGGAACCCTGGCATCACCGCTGTAGGCCGTCAGCAGCATTGATGGGTAGTGCTGCCTCACACAAAACACACATTATGAATAAGTCCTAACTATAATGTTTCACAAAGGTTATTAGTTATTAACAGTCCTTAAATCAGCAGTGTGACATGAGACCACAGCAGAGCATCCAATATTAGATGTTAAATTTGTTGTATTCAAAGATGGCATGAATACCACCAACTGACCCAGTGTTATTCAAATACTGGCTCTGGACCTAAACGTGGGCTTTGGGAATTTAAACTGGATTTTGACTTTTTGTCTGAGCAAACTGCTACCTCACACCTGTTGTTGGCGTGTAAGTGTATGTGTGAATGGGAAACTCACTGTAAAGCGCTTTGCTGAACCTACCTAAGGTTAAAAGGTGCTATATACCATTTATCTAACATTACAAGTCGATTTACAATGCAGTGCAAACTACAGGTTAGATTGAATCTTAGAAAGCAGATCTGAGAAATACCTGAAAGCCAAAATGCCTCTACCATTTAACAAAAATGTAGCCATGTCACCTAACTAAATAAAGAAAAACATTAGAGTAACTGAGAACACAAACAAAAAAGCCATTTTGTTTTGAGGCAATGCACGGAAAAACTGCAGCCACATTCTTGTCTTCACTTTGTGTTTTCCTCTTCTTACCTGAGGAGTAATGTTGTGAAGAGGACAGTAGGAGGTGATGATATGTCTGTGTTTTGAGTTTCCCACTGGGTCGCCCCATTCATCTCTATCCTCCAAAGTTAAAGGCAGGCTGGGATCCTGCATGGTTCCCAACACATCCAGAAAAGGAGCCTAAACACAGGAAAAAAAAAAGATTGCTTTGGATGTTTGTGTGTGTGTTTGCTACCTTTTACTAAAAGGAATTGTGGTACAATCAGTAGGGAGGCTCAATTTATATTGAACTCTTAGATATTGGCAAAAGTGTTCATGTGTTAAAGCACCACTGAGAAACACAGTCCCTAATATTATAGTTCAGCCATACACTTCATGAGCAAACACACAAACCTCTAATAATTTAACATCTTACCTGCAGTGTGACTGCCCGGATCATGTGTGGGTGTCTGTTGCACAGTGCTCCCACTGGCACAGCCCCAGCACTGCAGGCTGTAAGGGCAGCGAGTGAAGGAGAAGAGACTCCTGAAGAGAAAAGGTGATGGAGACAGGCTTGGAGGTCCTCCACTCCTCTCTGCTTCCCCTCCACACGGGCTTGTCTTTGCCAAGAAAGTCCGCGCTCACCTCCACCTCTACGGAGTGTAAAAACAACACATTTACTTCCAAAACATGGAAAAGATAAAGTTTAAATTTCAGACCTGGCCAGCCCTCTCAGACATCCTTCATCAGCTTCCTGCAGTATTATCAATACAGAATCAATGTCAGCCCAGGTATGACCTCCTGGGTCAATCCTGCCAGGTTTGGTTTTTAGGTTGCCAGAGAGGTGACACATTACCTGATGTGGCAGTAGGCCAGAACCCAGCCTTGCTCCAGTAGCAGCTTTTTCTCTGGGGAGAAGTCCATGTTAAGATCTCTGCCATAAGCTCCGTAGACATGGACCAGCAGTGGCGCCTGTCTCAGACTCTCCACAGGTGCTGCATGAAACAATGTCACCGGCACCAAGGTACCATCCTACACAGGACAGACAGAAGGAGTGGCTTAGGAACTAGATGGAGGTGGAGTACATTTTTTGTGTATGTCATCATTTGTTCCTGTGTGTATTAGGTGTAGACATATGAAGTGATGCACAGGAGAGTGTGTACTATTGAGCCCTTCTATGAAAACAGCTTTATCAATAGACACTTGAGTCACTGCAAAATGCTTCCGTCCCTCCTGATCGTGTTTCAGTGTGTGTGCATGTGTCTTATATGTCAAGTGTCCTCACTTGGCTGCAGGCCTCCAAGCGTGTGGTGATATAATTGTCCAGGTTCTCTGCTGAGGATCCATCTCCAGTGGCTGATAAAAGGAGTCCATTCTCGGGGTACAGACAGTACGGCACCGGTGGGTGGACCGGAGACGAGATCAGGAACTCTAGCACTTTTTGTTGCTCTGCCAAGCCTGGTTTCTTGGTTTCGATGGCACAAGCCCAGGAGGGGAGCTTGGGTATGAGAGTAGAAATATTTAATAGATGAACAAATAAGACTGAATGATAGAGCAACACAACAATAGAAAAACAAGACTTAGAGCAAAAAATAGAATTCAAAATGAGTTGAACCATACTGACCTGTACAGTGTATGCCTCTTTGGGATGGGTCAATGGAACCACGATCAGGGCAAGTTGACTGACTGGTGTTGCTGCAACCAACACACAATAGTCTCCAACTATGTCCATGTCTTTAACTACAGTGCCAGGTTCAGGGGCAAACAGAGAGACCCAAGAGACCATGGATGGCTCTGACATAGGGGCCTTCACCACCTAGTGAGCATACAGAAGGATACATCTACTGACTTGATATTTCAAAGTTAATGTTGTATCAAATGTACTCTGTGAGAAACCACAGAAAGTTGTTATTAGAGGCCAACGTATTCCAGCACACATAGAACATTACGAGGTACTAAAGTACAAAAAAAGTTTTAAAACATTGTGACTTCTGACATTTTGTAGCTTTCCAAGAACATTTTGAGACAAATATGTATTATCAATAGTGGGTATATTTCCTGTGTGCAGAGGATATGATGCAAATTCTCCAGGATCACCTCAGCAGCCTGAGCACAAACGGATGTGGAACATACACCCTACAAACACAATGTGTTTAAATATGTATTGAACAAACGCTACCTGATATTCTTGTCCAGGCCCTGTATTAGCCAGTATAATGAGGCATCTTCTCCAGTGTTCCACGTGGTATAGGAGGTCCAGCTGGTGCGGCTGAACCACAAAAGGCTTCAAGTGGGATCTTGTTATATCACATAGCAGCACCTCTGAACGGTTCCTGCTGTTGCAGTTGATTGTCAGGATCTGTCGGTCTCTGGACAGGGCGACCTCCACAAACACACTGAGGAGATGTTGGTGTTTCAATTACATATGTTGTGGGAGCAGAGACAGCTTAGACGTCACACTGCTTACACTTACTCAGGCTGTGCTTCCTGATACACAGCGGTTATCCTGCTGCCACTGGAGGTCAGATCCAGACGAAACACTGTACTGGAACGAAGATCCTCCAGAGTTGTGTAAAACAGGACATCATCTGTGGCCCACTCTTCGACCAGACACACAAGCATATACAATATTATCCTTTAATTTGAGCCAGTGCTCTGGTAACTTTATCACAAGCAAAATACACAATTCACAAGTGCAAATTATTGAACATTTACCAAAGCTGAGGACTTTCTCCAGTGTGAGGACAATGTGTTGAGGGTCCACAGGGATGAAGTTTCTCTTTCCAAGCCTCACAACTACACACCTGGTTTATCACAACATAATAATCCACTTGTTAATTCTGTGTAAGAGTTCAAATTCAGTTAAAGAAAAAACTGTGTTGCTACGTAAGCAGTATTGTGTATCTGTTTGATTTACCTCAGCTCTTCTGTGTGACTAAGCTTCAGCGTGGCAGCAAGATGCTTCTCCTGTGGGGACAGCCGTATTCTCTGGACTGTCCACTGAAACCTTTGCTTCTTCTCTTCATTCTCAAGTCTTGGCTTCTCCTGCCCTCCAGAGACTTGTCCTAGATTTAACACCTGCTCTGGCTCCAGATCACCTACAAACAGGGCAGAGAAACTGAGTCATTCAAACAAGTTAGTCCATATTCCCAACCCAATAATAGGCTGCATGAAGAGTTGCCGATATAGAAATAAGGTTACAGTAAATAAATAAAAAAAAAAAAAAAGTGTCATGCAATTTAACTTCTGTAACCTCCTTTGTGGTTCGGCAGTCTTTAAAAGCTTTCTGTTGCTCATTTTCTGGCTTTCAGAACTGTTAACATGAGTAGTTAAGCTTCACTTATGTGTCTTGCTTACTCTGTCTCCTGTCCATTCTGTAGATGCCATCCTCTTCAACGAAATATATGTGGTGATGTCCAGACACCTGTGACAAGAAAAAAACACAGTAAAGTGTAAAAACAATACAGACTTTCATAAAAGTTAGCAACTGCTGCATCAGTGTCATTTACACCTTCCAAATCAATAATCAACAACAAGAAATGGGTCATATTTTAAAACTCAGTAGCTGTCCTTATGCTTCATGTAGACAAGGGGCTGGTATGTAAGTGCTACCTATTTCTTATTTTAAAAATCATAATACAAATGTTTTACCTACTGAGGTAAAACTCAAAATCCTAATGAAACAGTTCAAACCCACAGCAGGAGATGGGCCTCACCACTGAGTGATCAGGCACATCGGAGAACCTGCGGTACGTCGCCTTCAGTCTACGGCTGAAATACTTCTGTAAGTCCTTGTACCGCTCAAGTCCAGAGGTATCAGCTGATGAGACCGAAATGTCCTGAAAGGAAACAACTTTATAAATGGCCATTTCTGCTTTGAGCGGAACAATAAATCGATTTCAAATCAAAATCGCAATTTGAAGCAAAGCAGTTAGCACATTCAAAGGTCAGTGGTTTTAAAAATGATCCTCCCAGTAAAGTAAACCCCAAAACAAGAAGGTTGTAGTTTATTAAACACTTAGTAAATTGTTATTGCTTTTGTATTCTGCAATGCCAAAAACAGATCTGTAATAAGTAAGGATGTATTTATTCTTGCAAAATAATGTGCTGCTTTTTTCAGGCTCCAGCTTCTTAGATGTGAATATGTTCTGGTTTCTTTACTTCTCTTTGACCGTAAACTGAATACCTTCAGGTTGTGGACAAAACAACTCACGTATCATCCTGGGTTTTGGGAAACACTGAATGACATTTCTCATGATTTACTGACACGTTATAGACCAAACAATAAATCAGATAATTGAGAAGACAATGGACAGATTAAAGTGGAATCTGCAAATGAAAATAACTGTTAATTGCAGCTCTACTAAGTGTGATTCCCTGGTGACACTGAGTCTTAAATAAAACCTCACAGATTGCAGTGAGTGACAAGTATGAATGGGCTATAATGACATAGTTGGACATATTGATTGGGATCTCACACAAACTCAGTTATAATGAAAGCCTAAAAACACAAAATCTCAGGTGTTTGCTAGTGAAGTGATCCACATCCACAGGGGTTACGTTTCAGCCCTTTGCCCTTATCTGTGGCTCCGTACAACACTAGTTTTGTTAGACCGGTGAAGAGATACCGTGTTGAATAATGGACGGCTCGACGTTATCAATGCGATAGCCTAACAGTCAGTAACCAAACACCGAGCCTAAGGTGAGTAAAAACGGCATCTTTAATTGAACTGAACACCCTTACCGACGTGTAACAACGCCGGGCCGACAAGGATAGCCATGTTATCCGTGTCTCAGCTGCCAGTTCCCAAAACAGTAATCGAGACGGTGCGAGGAGACGAGCGGAGGAAAACAGCAGAGACGACAGAAGAGCCATGACCGAGTTCTAACGGTCATTCAGTAGAATTAACACAAGATAGCTGTGTTTACATGGTTTCAAGTAGCTAACAATCACTGCCAGCAAGTGTCAGTCACATTCACGACTGTAAACATATTTAATTTAACAAGCAAACGCCACATTTTAAACCCGTACTATCTAGTTTTTAATTGTAAATGAACCATTCTGCGGTTAGTCAACGTCCACAGCAGCTAGCAACACACGTGCATGACTTCCCAAACAAAGCCCCGCTTGATGACGTAGTGAGCAAAGCCAGACTAAAGTAATCAACTTCCGTCATGAGCCGCTGACAGCTATGACTGAAAATCGAGCACGGGGGGTGTCGATAATCCATTGCTAGGGCTCGAACGGCAAAAGTGTACGGAAGTAGCATGCATCCATTGTGGGTGTAACAGGTGATTACAGTCAAGCCATAACTGCGATCATTTTTGCGTTGGTATAGTTAGTGAAAGAAGCCTTATTTTTGTATGATCGCACTGCACCCGTTAACTGTGACAGCTCCACAGCCAGGATACCTGTGTACAGATTTGTCTCCACGCAGAATTTGAAAGTAAGATGGAGAAGGACTCCACCGGCTCTGCAGAAAAGACTGAGCCGGGTTCGGTATTAAGGGAAAATATTCACGAAGACAACTGCACAGCTGATTCCTTCGGTTCCCAGGCAGATAACTGTGGTACGACTGATGTCGCCCGAGCCAGGTGGACTCTACTGAGACAGGTATCGCCTCGAAAACAGGCACAAACCCCTCATGGTTTAATGCTGTTGTCGCGTTTTGAAAATGTGTTAAATGTTTAACAGTTAATTTATCGTTGGACATGTTTGGATTCTGATACAATCGTTGTCACTGTAATTTGTTCAATAATTCTGATGGTGGAGATCGGCCTTTCTTTTCCTTTGCCACGCTTCCTCCATCATTTTGGCAATGAAATGTTGCATACTCAGCCTTCAAATAGTGTACCAATAGCTAACATAGTACTACTACTGGGTAAAATAAGGAGGCAATATTTTAGCGTGTTTTTTTCTATGTAGTCTGATACGAACTTATTTCAGTGTGATGAGCCTGTTTTCCCAGTAAGGCTAATCTAATCTGCTTTCACACACAGTACAACCTAAAGCATCACCTTCTTCCCTTTTATAACAACACTTACTTTCAGATTCACAGTAACTTTGTCACCACTTACAATCTATCATTCCCCCCTGACCACAGAATCTGATGAGTGGTGCATGGACTAAACCTTGTAAGCACAAGAGCAGGAGCTGTGCTAAAACAGGGCTTTTGCTTTTTTGTTCTCCATAAATGGACATAATACAGAGCCTGGACTGGGCTGACAAGAAAAGCTCTCAGCAAAGGGGCCATCTGGCATTCTTCATTTTGCACTTCTTCCTCTCGACACAGTAATGAATGAATCTGTGTGTGTGGACTTTGCCAGAATTGGTGGAGGGATAGAATAATCAATTCCAAGGGGAAAAAAAGAAGTTTATGTTGTACAATAGTGGTGTTTTTATCATATGTCATACACAGAACTATGCATCGACTGTGTGCGCCGCCTAAAGAGATGTTTGCAGTGTAAAGAAGGAAATATGTAAAGAGGGAAAAACAAATCTAGTTCATTTTGTACATATCTATACAAGAGATTTTGTATTCTGTTTATAACACCACAAACTATATCATAGAATGAAGTTTTTTTTCGGGCTGACATCGATACTAGCTATTAGTGTCAGGATATTTGGAACAGATAAAATTTGCAGTAAAAATGGAAATGCAAAACTTGGTTGACATGCTTGCAATGTGTACTTATGGTTTACATATGTTACCCTTCAGTGTTGATTGGCTGTTATTGTTGATTGTGCTGCACATGGCTGAGGGTTACTTGAGGCCACAAAGTTGTAACTTCAGATGAAGAGAGGTGATTGTGTCAGAGCCAAAGTAATGCATTTTAATTTTTTGTGTGTGGGGACCAGTAATGTACCAGTCATGTAATAAAAGTAATGATATTGGTAATGGGAATAATGCTTAATATTTAGTTTGATATTCAGCCAGGCTCATAATTGGTCCACCCTTGCTATATGTTATTGATATATTTTGGATTATAATGTGTTTTTAATTTCGTGTTAATGTTAAATTTGCTGAACATATCTGCCCCCGCTATTGAATGTTATAGTATTCCCGAAAGACCTGTTGTCTATGAAGCAGAGAAGGGGGATACTGAATGTCATGAGTTCCTGTTTATTGCTCTCACAGGTGTTGCGTCAGAAGCAGACGGACAGTCCAGAGGTCAAACAGGTGTCTGTTCGCCGGTTTTCCACGTTTGACCTTTTCAGCAGGAAAAGGCTTGTGGCACACAGTGATACCTCAGATGACCAGTGGGTGGAGTACAGAAGTGTCTTCTCTCCTGAGTACAGTGCCTTACTCAGGTACACACACTTGAATGGACGCATAAAGCTCTTGTTTCATGCTGGCACAGATGAAGCACAGTGACAGTGCACTGCACAAAGGGCCATTTTGTGACACCACAGAACAGCAGACTAGTTAAAATAAGTGTTGAACAAGCTGTAAGGTACAAAGTGAAGGTATTGATGAAGCATGCATGATATTACTTAAAAGCATCGGCTTTTTATGAGAAAGTTAGTGCAAAAATGTGTAAATTACATGTTGATTTTTGTAGAAAAATATCTAAAAACATGTTTAAACTTGAAGCTGAAGATGGCTATGAGTTTGTGTAACTAATTTTAAAAGTGTTTTTAAATGTAATAAACGCTGTAAAGCCAATGATTCCCTCTACAACTCAGTTAAGTCAACTTTTGAGATTTGTGAGGACATGACAAGTCGAATCGGTGCTCACTTTTTGATTCTTTCCCCGTGGAACAATGCTTCAAGTAGCAATTAAGAGTTTTAATCTTGTTTTACCATCAGACAATTATACACCCCAGACTGCTGTATAATTGTCTATATTTTTGTATCTCTCAGGGATAACCTGGGGCCTCTTAGAGTTAATGAAGTGCTCAACAGTTTTGACAACACTGGCAATGTCTGTAAGTAGATATTTTATCTTACTACTTAAAATCATTGTATTTGTCATGCATTTATGTGCAAGCATGCATGTGATTGTGTTCACAGCGGAGTTAGTTTTTACCCATACTGCTCCCTGGCTTTTATCCTTGACACACACTCACACACACACACACACACACATGCGCTACAAGTTTGGGTTAACTTCACGCTGTGTGCTGTTAGTGTTTGATTGATGGTTTGATGTAGGTGGTTTGATTCCATCTCTTTGAATGGGAGTGTGTCTCTTGTGTGCCTTCTACAGCAGTTTATCATGTGCTCATTCCTCCCAACTACCTTCAGATGTCCTTTGGAAAGAAAGTGGGTTGCAGTCTTCTTATTGCTTCAGTCGACAGTGATGAGTGGTTTGGGAGAAAGGAAAGAACATGACTCAAACAGGGATTTGCACATGCTCTATGATATGGAGTGGAGTAGCACCACTTGAAACACAACAGCCTTCATTCTGACCTTCATTCTGTGAGGCACTTTTGAAATGTTTCACTTGACTGAGTTTACTTCTATTTTTGTTTAATTCAGTCTTACTCTCTTTGTGCCGTTATTTCTTATGTTTTTTTTTTAAATTCAGTCACAGAGGGATTTCAGCTAGACATATATGACTACTGTTTATATTCAACTAATCCAGCAATGTAGGTTTCAGATGGAGATTTCAATTAATTTTAGTTAGTTGTACATACTCTATAGTATGCAGTACAGGTTTACTTGTATGTGTACTTCTTGCATAACCAATATACTTTGCTTAATTAGTTAACTGTGTGGAATATAACACTTTGGCCACATCTCACACTAACCCTTCTGCACCCCAATCAGCTACTATCACATTTTTCCCTTACTGCAGGCTGATTTTTCACAGCAATATAAAGTCCTATGCCTCTATGGAAACAGCACAACTATGGTGACATGTAGAGACAAATAAAAATGGCTTCTGTGCAGTATTACACAGTTATAATGCCAATAATGAAAAAAAACAAAAGTTGAACTCCTTTGAAGCAACTGGTCCAACATTTTTCAAGTGTCCACAGGTGTTACCAGCACTGGAAAAAAATGACTCTACATATTGTAATTGATTTACTTCTTACATTTTTGATTTGTTTCCATACTTGTCTCCAATCTGCTCTTAGTAAACACAGCCTACAGTTCAGCCAAGTCCAGAAGAAAAGTGCCTACGGTTTTGCCTATGTGACTGTTGGTTGCGGCTAAGTCACTCATGGCTTCTTGGTTGAGCTAAAGAAAGCAGAATTTATTGTTGCTGTTGTTGTTGTTGTTGTTGTTGTTTTACAGTATTTGGAGACTGAAAAAGTTTTATTTTTGGTGAATTTTCAAATAAGACATGTAAAAATAAAAAGTGATTTCAATGAGATATCATGAATTTAAGCTCCGATGTGGTTAATTGTTCTAATGGAACTGCATGTCGAAGATGAATATCTAAAAACAATGACAATACATGATGTAGTTTTGATCTCATGACAGTATTTTCAGTTTCACATACCTCTCTAGCAAGTGTTGGGGTTCAGAGAGTTAAGGCAGGGATCATTAGAAACAGCAATGACAAATAATAATATGGGTAATATAAATATCTACTTAGCTTCACAACCCAGCTCCACAATATCCTTTTTAAGTAATTATGCACCACTTTCTGTGCAGGTCTGTCTTCACAGGCATGTAGGGGTGAGGTTAAAGTCATGGGTTAGCATTACCCCGCCAGATGGTTGGACAGGAGTCGGGGTCAGAGGTGAACGCCATAGCTAAGGTTGACTTCACCGCACACCGGAATCAGACTCTATAAGTCATGACAGAGCTCAGTGGAAACTCTCATTCCAGCCTGCTAGAATGGATAATCCCTTTTCTCCACAAAGAGACAAGAGGATCAATACTTTTTCCTCTTTGGAGAGTGAAAAAGAAGAGGTCATCATGTTTTTGCCTTGTGCTACTTCAGTGGCCTTCAAATGTTCTTTGCCGTTTGCAGATACGACCACATTCCCTTTGTCCTTTTCTCTCTTCCTCTTTTTTTATTATTATATATAAAGTAGAAACTAGTATAAAGACTTTCTCCTTCACACAAAACATCCCCAACTACTTAAGAGCAGACCCCCTTATTAGCATTCCTCTTTCTCAATTTACTCCTCTCACCACTGCTCCTCTTCCCTCCTTCCACCCCTCTGTCTCTCTGTCCTCCCAGCTGGAGTCATGCTTGGCCAGATGGGTAACTGAGTTTCTGACTTGGCCAGTGGATTAGCACAGCCGGAGATGAGAGCATAGAGGAGGGGAGACGAGAAAAGGGGGAGATGGTGGGTGGGCATGCCAGAGGTGCAACGTGTGTGTGTGTGTGTGTGTGTGTGTGTGTGTGTGTGTGTAAGGAGTGGAGAGCCACTAGCAAGGGGACCTCGTTCCTCAAACAATGGGGCGGCCGTCTCCCTCCTGTTCTCCATCCCATGTTTGGGACTAGTAATGCGTGAGATCAATTAGGATTGGTTGAGAGGAGGCTCTGAAAGGCCCAGAGGTGACCCTGTCAGAGCTCTGGGGTATATTTTTGGGGGTGGGAGTCAAAGAGAAACCCCTCTAAATACACAAACACACACACACACACACACACACACATACACGCTGACTTATGTGTGCCACTCACAAAGATATACAGCCAGGTGCAATGCTTGCAAAAATCAACTGCTACCGTGCTAATGAACACATATTCATGTCAGCCACCATCACACCCTCTCCACCTTTCCCGCTGTCCTGATAATCCCCTACCCCTGAGGTGTGGACAAGCCCAAGTCTTAGGGGTCCTTGTCGTCCTGAATAGCAGGCTAAAAAGCCTGGCCGGATTATCCCACTGCTTCCAAAATGTGTGGACTCAGCTTAAAATTGCTACCCCCTCACAGCATGACCCTCTCTCCTGGCTATTGTGTTTGTCCCACAACTGTGCACGTACGTGAACAATATGTTGTTTCTTAGGGTGAAGATAAGCCAGAGTCAATGGTTTCATTTTAAGACCAGAGGAGCGCGGAAGGGGTCTCAGTGAAGATTTTAGGAAATGGAGAGTGTATCTTGGAGATGCCAGCTGACATCATATTACTGAGAACACTCAGGATAGATATCATTTTAAAAATCTGGCTGTTTGAGTACGACACTAAAACTTGTCTTTCATAGAATGATCCAAACTCAATTTTGTGTATATTGGTCTGGATTGTAACACCACAATAAGAAATGCGCTTAATTTGGCACAAGGGAATAAAAGTAGAGCTTTAAACAAAACCAAATAAAGGGTTTAATGGCTTTTCTGATGAATTAAGACGTCACCTATGAAATCAGAAAATCAGTAACCTATGAAGAAATGCTATACTATTTAATCAGAATCAGATCTGGCTTTGCTCAGGTCCCCTTCAGGTCTCGTTCTATCAAAATGAGTTTATACAAATTGGGTTTACGCAGGTTGTTCATAGGTCTGTTTGGGATTGACTACACATGAAGATGTCTTGGGGTACCTATGTGTCCCATTGTCAGGCCCCAGGTGACAGGTGACGTTCACCTGGCCACTGGTTTAATCACCTGTGTGTCCCGGGAGAAAGCACCCCCTCTGGTGGTCATCCAGAGGTCATGAAGCTGCAGTTCCGTTTGTAACTCGTTACGTCTTGTCCCCGAGTGCTTGGTCCCTACTTCAGGATGGACTTGGTCACTTTAAACTGTTTGAACTCTGAACTTCTGACCTGCCCGCGTCTTTAGCTGACAGTTGGGGCTTGTAATTGTAAGACAGCTTTGTACAGGCGTCGTTTGGGGTTTTAGGAGTGCTTGTTTCCTGCTAGGGGTCAGGAATTCTGGACACAATGCAGGCCCCTTGGGGTTGGGTGACTAAGAATGCATCACAGGATGTGTACGTGTGTGACTGAGAGGGTTTATGCAGAGCCTGTTGACGCTGCAGGATTTTGGTTTGAGGGCTTGTTGGGGTGGAGTTGGCTTTATGTTACGGGCTGCGGTCGCTGACTACACACACACACACACACACACACACACACACACACATGCAAAGTTTAGGATGCATAGAGTGTAGAATCCTCTACTCCCAACATAATCAAATGTATGTTTGCAAGATAAAAATTCTAATTTATTGATGTAGATTTAAAAAAGTAATGTAAATAATGTAATTTAAACTGAAACTCCTGCATTAATTTATTAAAAATGAAATTCAAGTTCTAGTAAATTAGTTAAAATCATTTGATAACTCATCTTTTCCGTACCGAGAGGTCAGGATTTCAGTTAAAACTTGTATTTCTGCTGCTTTTGAATAACTACTTAGTATTTAGGATGCTGCTGATTGTAGATTTCACTTAATATAACAGTTGTCACAACTAAAAAAAGCAAATACTGATGCAGACTGTTGCGTTCATTTATTTTGTTGAGCTTAAATATTCGTTTTTAAAGTGTAGATGCAGTTAAGTCTGGGCTCATGTAGAACAACGTTGTTTACTGTATTCGTGTGTGTGTGTGTGTGTGTGTGTGTGTGTGTAGTGGCATGTTGTAGGAACATAAATCTGCTTATACAATCACGGTCCTCTTTATTTTTGGGCACAAAAAGCAAAACTCTTAAAGGTAAATGATTAAATTTTAGATTGAAGTCTTTGTTTAAGGGACTAGTTAATGTTTAGTTTTGGGTTAGGCAAGTAGTGGTTATGCTTCGGGTTAAAATACATCTAAGTAAGTTAATGTAATGTACTCTGAAGTGATGGAAACATGAGTGTGTGTTTGTGTGTCTGTGTATGTGTGTAATCAAGAGCCAAGCATCCTAATGAAGCCTAATAGAGCCTTCTTCACTACAGCTGTCATTGTCTGAATGGCTACTAGCCTTTCAGCCTCTCAGTCATCCCTATTATCTCCCACAGACTTCACCTATCACCCCCGCTGGTAAATACTATAAGCCCAGAATGTTTGAGTGTCGAGAGGGAGGGCGACGGGGAGCTGGTCATTTCTCTCT